AGATACTATTCCTGCTCATGGCATGTTGTGAACAGTCATTATATTTTTTGCTCACAATGCAGGATTTTTTTTTTTTGCATCCTTTTACAGCTGGAATTTTCTGGGTCACATAAAGCAAACTGAATGTAGAGTATTTCATTTGATGAGCCACAGGGGTTAACAAACATGACTTGGATGTGTGTGAATGCAGGGTCAGGCTGTTGGGGCGGGGATGGGGGGGGGGGACCAGACCCCAAATCCTACACGAAGCTGTGCTGCAATCCCCCCCACACACACATATACATGCACCACTCCATTATCTATTCACGGCGGCCGTCGGATGAAACTCCACAGAGGACTATTCATGCGAGAACCATTGCCGGGTATAAATAGCTTCGGATTTACTTCCGTGCGATTTACCCTGGGACTCCATTCGGGACCCTGAGAAGTAATTCGCATGCAGTCGGCGTATTTCTGAAGATTCTCACACAGAACGGGACCTGAGGCCTGCATCAGAGCCACTAAGAGGCATGGGCTACTGGGCCTTCTGAAGACCCCACCCAGAAGGCCGTACCCCGACACGGGCCCCGGAACCAGGGTCTAATACAATCCCTCCGCCCACGGGTGGCATTAGAGATTCTGGGCCCCATGAAAGCATATCATATTGGGCCCCAATCCAATTATGTTACAAATATTTTAGGGCCCCTGAGTGACAGCGGCCCTTGGAATCGTCCTGACTTACCCCCATTTATGGCGTCCCCCCCCCCCCCCCCGCCTCCACCCCCAGCACACGCACACAATCATGGCAACGCACAGGCAAAACCGCACCCTGATTTGCTGACATTTCTTGATGCTGTTATCCTCTCCGCGACAAGCCGCCGGCGTTCTCCCTGCAGTTCCCAAACCAACCAGTGGGCGAACACTCGCGCCACAATGAAATGCACAGTCACCCCATCCCTTCAAGAGGCAGCAGAATCAGCCGCGCTGTCGATTACATGGGGGGGGTCAATATCTACGGCATCACTAAAGCCCGGCGGTGTCCAATTACATAACGTGGCTCCAGGTTCACAGCCCCACCTCCCAGGTGATGGGGTGGACACCCCCCTCCCGCTGCCACGTCGCTCCCGTAGCCCGGGGAGATGGAGGGGACAGCTACCAGCACAAAGTCTCTGTACTGCCAACAGCCGGCGCCCATCCTTCATGAGGAGAACTGGGTTTTTCCAATGGACCCCCACGAGAAAGACGTGGACGTTGCTATGGCTACAGGCAGCCGCACCTTCCATGTGTCTGACAGCGGAGTAGCATGCAATGGTCAATTAACCCCCCGGAGCCGTTAAAAGCGCAGGACTGGGCCTCGCGGCACCAGTAAAACTGCGAGGGAGCGAATTCGGGAACAGCAAGTGGCGTCCGAGATGCCATGACGATAAACGGGGGCATTAGCGGATTACAACCAGACCCCACGGACCCCAAACGGGGGCGGGGACAACAAAGATTACGCGGCAAATCTGACAGACAGCGATCACAAACTGCACTCCCCTCCATCTTCCTACGCCCCTTCATGGTCCCCCTACACCCTTTGGCATCATTTTTACAACACTGTCACAGACATAAGCTCTTCTACATCCTCATGGCTCATCTGCGTCCAATTATCCTTCTACATCCTTTTATGGCACTACTACACTCTCTCCGTACTATGCTATTTCTCTACTACACTCTCTCCGTACTATGCTATTTCTCTACTGCACTCTCTCCGTACTATGCTATTTCTCTACTGCACTCTCTCCGTACTATGCTATTTCTCTACTGCACTCTCTCTGTACTATGCTATTTCTCTAATACGCTCTTTTAGAAACTCAGGGGTTGGGACAGGGGTTTAGGCATCTTCTCAGCTTACAAAATGGAGGTCTATGATACTTTGCAGAATGGGATGAACCCACACAGGGCTGCGGTCCACCTGCACAGTTAAGGCATTCAGGTCTGCCATTGGTCGGCACACTGCAGCTACGCCCTCCAGTGGCACACTCCTGCCAGTGCGGCCTGCAGCATGTTGAAGCTTCTTCTCCCTAAGGCTCCAGCTTCCCTCTCTCCCTCTCTGTAACGTCATTGCTGCTTCTCTCACAGAACCAGTGGTGATATTTCCCACCACCGGAACCATGCATTTGCGTGGGGACCCCGGGGGTTGTGGTTTGCCCCCCCTGCTGGCCACAAACAATCACTACATTAAATATTAAATAAACGTGTTTCTTATTTAGAACCAGAAGCAGCATATTCTACTAACTAGCTGGCTAGCTACGATCTGACACTACTAACTAGCTGTTTGTTTAGTTTTAAAAGTAACTTTTTCAGTGGGGCCCAAAAAAAAAAAAACTCACCCCTCCCAGAACTGCATTATTTCTAAGAGCCATTAATAAGACCCCCAGATGCTCAGATTCTTCTGGTCTGTTCCGTGGACTCCCTCGCGTGCGTACACCCAGGCTATGTCCTCACCACACACTCCAGAGAACAGAGCGCACTCTCAGGCCAAACCAAAACCATTTCACACCATGTTTACACCCACAGAACCACTCAATATGTCCGTGCCGAGCCATCCATCACGCCCAGGCCAGTTTGCTCCAGATGAGCCAGTGCAGTTCTTCACAGTGCTGCTCCTCTATGTGCTTCAGAGAAGACAAAGCCATTTTCAGGGTAACCTCCAAGCTGAGATATCACCTGCTCCTTTGGAGGATATCAGGCTGACAGCGAGTACAAGTTCATTCTGAACCCAGTTTCAAATTCAGACCTAAACACATTCGGCCCATCCTGTGCTACTAAACTTGCAGTACCTCAAGTGGAAAACCCCACGGCATTCTGGGACGCAGGAGCAATCATTCGGCATTTTAGGACCACAGAAGCACCTAAATGCCAAGTGCAACATATTTCTAAACGCGCATCAATTTAAAATTCATCATCCACCCCGTTAACAGGAAGTTGAACAAGGCGTTCATAGCTACCTGAAGGAAAAGCCATGTTTTATAATTAGGTTTCAAAGTACAAGCGTTGCTCTTTATAAATCACACTTTCATGTAATGAGACAATGATCATTCCCGCTAGGCTGGAAGATGTTGCCAGAGCCCTTCATGCCCAGGAGGATATCGGGGGGAGTCCAGGGCACAGCAGGAGCCATATAACTTCTGAGAGCCGCTCCTGGTGATGTGGGACTGAAACTGCAGTGCACTCTGGGAAAGCAGGGGGAACGGAGGCATCGCGAAACAGGGAGGCCGGTCTGTGCCCTCGGGGAGGCGCAGACAGAGACGAAGGCGCGATTTCTGCGCCCCTACCTCTTGATTTCACACTTTCGCGCGTCGACGTGGAGAACTTTGTTGGCACGAGCCGCCCGCTCCACCCCCAGCCATTTATAGCGCTGGTCTAATTATAAACATCTGTTTCCGTGACCCCCCCACTTTCCCCCTCTCTAGAGGGTTGTACTTCAAAATAAAGAAGACGACTCCGAGACAGATAAAGATGAATAATGTGTTTCCTCCTGACAGGACAGTAAGAGCGGATTTCCACTAGCAGCCTGGGCTGAGGCTGCAGCTTCCTGTCGCACTAAGAATTGTCACGTGCACGAGGAGGCCACTTTATAACAAAGCTCAAATTTGTTGACGCAGATTGTTCTTCTTAACCAGAGAAATAAATTCTCCTAAGATGGTGCCAGTTATATAGCATTATATGATTAATTCTAAGGAGTATTTCTATATTTTTGTGGCTGCTCAGGAATCGTTAAAATAAATAAATGTCTCGGCCGTTAAGACTGATGGGGTGTGAGAGCCGCCCATCCCTATCTCGAGACATGACAGTCAACACGTTGTCACCTTCACGGGCCATTCTCTGGTGGGGCCTTGGGCGCCCCCCCGCTTTCAGCTCCAGCTGAGCTTGGCGTCTATGCTGCTCCTTCTTGGAGGAAGAGGGCAATTAGCAGCCCGTCCAGTTATGGCCGTAATCGATAACCGGAAGAGCCCAGCCACTCTGTCGCCATGACGAGTCCAAGGAGCCCAGCCGCACGCTTTAGCTGTAACCTTTCTCTAATTGGACAGCAAGCTCCAAGGCAGACATATAAGAAAGGTGTGGGGGGGGGGCACATTCATCACGGCCCAATCAGAGCAAAGAGTCACATTTAAATGCCATTTGTAAATACAGGGATTTCATGGCCCATGCTGGAATGGCGTCACATGACTTAATGCAGCAACCATGTGACCTGAGGGGAACCTGACTTTCTCTACCAATAGCAGGAAAGCTTGTCCATCATGACACCCAATGACTTTTTGCCATTTTCTCGTGGCCGGGATTCCGCTATTTTGGGCAGCGGGCTTCGCTAATATCCATATCCACCATCCACCTGCACACTCCTCCGATTTCACCATCCATTTTTTTTGCCGCTGACATATGTTTTTATCATGAATTATATATGAGACACGAAACATGAGACGAGCCATCAACCATAACAAAATAAAAATCCAATATTCTTCTCTCCAAATAAAACCACCTGGACACTGAGCTCATTACGAGGTTCGCAGACGCCAACGCAACGAGGGCAGCGAGACTTTAACCAAAAGCTCGGAGTTTGCATGTCGGGCCCTCTGAGGGTGCGGGTGGGTGCGAGTCAAGCTCCAACCCAGAATCACATTAGCCATAGTCCAGTATGATTTATGGAGAGCACGTTGGACCCGGGTTAGGTGAGGCAGGTTCTCAATGAGACTGACTGTCCTTTAATTGTTGTCATAGCTGCGCATTACGAGCTACGATTAGAGGACATGGAGCAGTTTCATAGCCAAGTCACTGGGAGCAAGTCAAGGCGACGAGTCAGAGCGACGAGTCAGAGCATGGCCTCCATTCTGCTCAAAGCATAGTGGCAGGTACAGCCCAAATGGACAGCAAGGTAGAGGAAGCCTGGGCCAGAAGCAGCACCCACAAGCCTTAGGAAAACCCCCCCTCCAACCACATAATATGAGGACCCCCTGCCAAAAAGGATGGTGGATCCCCACCTTAAAGAGCCGCAGGATGTTGGCGACCATGATGGACACGGAGCTGGCGGAGGCGCCGATCACACCCACAATCTTGTCCGGCTTGGCGAAGATGGGCGGGTCACCACTGGCACAGCGGACGTCAGTGGCGTCCTTCTCGATGAGTGCCTGCACGAAGGTGAGCGACTGCTCCAGGGCGTAGGTGTCCCGCGAGCAGGTGTCCAGGACGCGGGCGCCCAGCGTCACGTTGGGCAGCAGCTCGGGGTCCTTGTTGATCTGGTCGATGGCGAAGAGCATGGCTTCCAGTCGGTGGATGCCCTTCTCCTTCTTGAGCTCGCCGCAGGGCACGCCGCGGTCGCCGCGGGCGTGGACGGGGAAGAGGCCCCCCAGGATGATGTCGCCGTCCAGCCGGATGGAGTGGGCATGCTCCTGGGCCTGAGCCTCTCGCATGCAGCTCAGCAACCAGCAACACCTGACCGTCAACAGGAAGATGCGGCGGCAAGAGACAGGCGGCTTCCGCGAGTCCCTCGCCATGGCGGCAGGGCGGGGCGGGGCGGCGTGAGCGGGCGCGTGGGGAGGCGGGACTTCTGGTGGTCGCAGCGAAGGGGGGCGGTCCGGCAGTGAGCACGGGAGTTAGGGGGGACCATCAGTGCCCCCCCAGCCAATCAGAGTTCAGCCTCGGACCCCAAGCAAATGCGGGGGCCTACCGCCAATCTTTATAACATCCCGGCCACATGTGGCACGCATCTCAAGATGAAAGCGAAGGTGGAGGCAGTGGATTTGAGAGCCGGGGGAGGGAATCTCAGATTGAGGCCACGGAGATCACAGTCCTGGGTTCGAAGTGGCCTGACAGGAGACAAGGGTAGGAAGGAAACCTTAATATCACGGAGATTAAACACTCAGCACCGCGAAACGAAACCTACAAGACACACCAAAACAGATGTAACAAGCATAGCGCCTGATGGTCACGCTTGCTAGGGATGGGGGCGAGGGGGGGGGGGCGGTATAAAAGTGGTATAACCTGATGGCATCAGGAGCAGCAGCTCAATCAGCAGCCTGTAAAAACTCTCCACTTACCGCGCCTTTATTTAGGCCGCTAATTTACTTGTTTGCTTGTCGCTTAGGTTAAACGATGATTAGTTTATTAGAAATTAGAAGCTTGTTCAGCTTCGACTCCCAGCTAAATGACACACCGCTACCCCCACCGAAGAACAACCGTCCGCCCTTCGGAGCCGTGAAAATAATCCCATTGCATTTGTGGGCTTATCAGCAGTGCCAAGTATTCCGCTAGCATATATATCGCGTCTATCTTGCACAATAAATGAGGCTTTCCGTTTGGGAATTAAGTCAATATCCCCCGTCACCATCTCCAAAATTTCTTTTAATAAGAACGGGCGTTTTATGCACCCGATTGCAAGGTAAAAGCATTTTATCTTCGTCTTAACTATGTAGCTCATTATTATTAGCCCTCATTTCTCATCCTGCTGCAGGATGACAGATACAAACTGGTTTTCGTTAAATGACTAGTACCAGCTATCGGTTTTTGGTTCACCTTAAGAAGTTACGGTATTTAAATTAAGACCACAACTCGGTGTGAACAACCTCTCCTACTATTCTCTCGATCTGAAACAATCGATTCATTAACGCATAAAAAGAGTTAGATTCACAAAAATACCTCAATAATCTCAAGTGTTGAGTCGTTTTTAACGAGAACGAAAAGTTTCGTGTTCAGTATTAAAAGTGCGCATGTAGGCTGCTGGTAGGTTAGAGTGTAACAGCGCTCTGGCGTCGGATCAAAGGCTCTTAATGAAGCTGGAGCCCATCACGGTGCAATAAGACAGGGCTGCTCCCCCCTCTGCGGGTGATAAAGCGGGCTGTGTGCTGGTGATACGGGGATTAATGCGTTACAAATAGTAAGAATAAAATGTAATAATAAAATAACAGACAACCCACCGCACCCAGCTCCAGATAAGGAGGGAGACGTTTCGCAGATCGTCTCCGTTGGTGCGGTAATACGGAACTAAAGCAGACAACTGGGTTAAATGCCGGTTTTTGCATCATTATGCGCATAAACATGTAATCAGATTTTTAAACTCCAAGCTCCAATGATCCAGTGATTTACAACCCCCCTTAATGTAGGATCTGAATAAATTATACAATGTTTAAATTACTTTGCGTCGTACGTATGTAAAGGTACCTCGATATCTACCATCTCAAGCCAGTTTTCCCGAAGGCTTGACAATCTGTAGCCCATCTTAAATTATAAAATTCATTTTCCTTAGCATAGTCTTTACAAATATCCTAACTGCAAAATCGTACTTGTAATTAAACATTCACTGATTATCATATAAACCATTGTGTGGGATCAATTAATCAGTCAAAGAGAACTGAGATGAAACCGGATAGCTTTATCATCTAAACCGTTATTACGGAGAGAAAGAAAAGGCACGGTATTACACTGACAGGCGAACTGTGTCCCATTTCTCTTTCTAATTTATATGAATAGGACTGGGCAAGCCCGTTCCACCTTCTTCTGCTGATTCAATTATAATTTCTTCAGCCTAACAACTCTCAGCGGATCGTGTTGCTCTGCTCAGAAACTGATAGCTTTCGGCTCTCTGTAGCAATACGGTGAAAAACGCTATTTCTCTTTTTCCCCTCCTCTCGCTCCCTCATACCGCAACTGTTATGACATCGTATTTCATGCTGCGGATCAGTCAAAGCGCACAGCCTACCCACCTAAGGACTGGCGTTTCGTACAACCTGTCGTATAAAAAACTTCAGCAATGATGGTAAAAATCAAGCGCACATAAAGCAAAATAGTCCTCACAAACATGACTAGCAAAAAAATGGAAACTCTTTTGAAAGAGCGCCATTTATTAAGCATCTAAGCATCAACACCACATCTGATAACTGCAAAGGGTTGCGAATGTATATCCAGAATAAAACTGTGTAATTAAATCTGATAAGGAGATAAGGCGTTTCATATGCCCTTTCCTTTGCCATATGAACACTGATGGGTTCGTGCCGATATATCCTTATATCTCTGAGTCTGGATAAAAACGAAAAACGATAAGCATAGTGAAAAAACAGCATATTTTGTTCGTCATTCAGATAAGCACGCGAGGATATTTTTTCGCACAAAAGGCGTCTAAACTTTAAAGATGTAATGAAATTAAACAATTCTTTAGATAGAAAAGTAATTTACTTAAGTTTTCCTGTTCAGTTTTTTAAAAAGCTACTTCCGACGATGCAAGTCGGACGTGACACGCCTGTATTGAATCTCATCCCAGAAGCGCATTCCTTCGCTTTCCGCTGTAGGACTCCACTGGGAAGCTATACACTTTTCCATATGTTGGGGAAAAAACTGCTTCATCTCATTTTCTACCCGTGCATATGAGAGATTAATCACAGCTTTCCATCAAAGAACCCCGTTTATACGCTCCATCAGTTATTGACATACGAGAAAGAAATTTTAGGCTATATGCAGGTAAGCCGAAATTGTTCGGACGCACCCAGAGAGAAGTCATCCGGAATTTGTCGTAGGTTAAAAACAAGGAGAGAGAAACAAGCTGAGATACTAGGAGGCGATCCACAATCTACCTGCTGCTCGGTGACTCACAGACGGTCCCGCTCCGAAGATGCGCCAGTGTCTGTTCCCGGTGCTGAAAGGGACAGCGCTGAGCCGGAGCCGGAGCCGGAGCCTGAGCGCGTCTCATCCGAGTGAATCACAAAATACTCCCACCGGCCGTGATTGGTCCCTGCACTCCCTCAAATGAAGCAGCACCGCTTACCGGCACTTCAGTTGCTCCGCACGCTGCCCGGGATTATTCTCACGGTTGTCTTATATTAAAGAGGCACAATTCAGGAGACGTGGCCCCGAGAGGGGCAGGAGAGGGGGGGCCACGGAGGGCAGCATGGCATCTAAAGAGGGACTGGGAATTCGGCAAACAAAACTAAGTCTAATTTTCATAAAAGAAGTAACAGTATTTTAACCGAGATTCACAATTGCACTTAACAGACCAGTTCTGCTGGTGTCCGAACAACATAAAACAGAATTTTAAGAAAGAACAGAACGAGACCGCAGCCCTCAGATTCACAGGTCCCCGGGAAATATTCCCGAGTAACCCGGTAAATTAGACAAATCACTTCTCTCGGCTAGTTGATCATGTTTACTATTTCGTCTCCCTTGAGTAGCTTATGTGTAAAGCGATCAAGCAGGCCTACTATCTATAGCTATAATACGAGCAGTTAAACAAATTTCGCTTTTGTGCGATGATTTAACTATAAAACATGCTTGCATTTGGTGTCAGCAATCGTATTAATATGAATTCAGTTGGCTTGTAGAACCCAGGACTCGACTATAATGTGTTGTAGGTAATAATGATGCACTCCATCTGTATTTGTGTGATTTCAGCAGAATTGACATTACCGAGCGCCAAACTACAATATTGGCTAGTAGACTTGCGCCACCTAGTGGACATAGTCACAAATTACGTCGTTCACCTGTCATGTTTCCGTTTTAACAAAGCGGTATTACAGTTTTTTTCAATTGCTTAAGCACAATTTTGAAAACGGGGCCCGGTTTTTCATAACATTTCACACAATTATTAAAACACTTCACACAATTAGCACAACACCTCAGATTATTAGCAAAATGGAACACTTCAGTCAAAACTCTACAATTTCTTACAAAAACCCTATTTTCTTGTCAAAACATCCCACAAATCCATCATATGGTCTGATTCTGTTTCATTCAGTTAAACACTCCTGTGCTTATCTTAAAATACTTGTAACATTTACACAGAGAAAGTGTAAAAATAGATTTGTAAACATTACATGACACTGGTTGTGAAGACCAATGGAATTATTTATTTATCTTCATGCCACAGTTTTTGTAAATACATAAGCCCAGAAAAGAAAGATCACACTAAACATGATCTGCATCTCTTCGCCTAGCTGGGTCTGGCCACAGGGCCTCGTCAACATCACAGGCTATGTTATCATTAGCAAGGCAACGTGGGAAGAATCTTCTGGAGTGACGTATCCATCCCTGTATTGATGTTACATCAATTTCGTCACAGGCTTCCTCCATAGCTTGGATGAGCGGCATCTGGACATACGGCCGGAGATCATACACCTTCCACCGCCATGCTGAGAAGAACTCCTCAATGGGGTTTAGGAAGGGGGAGTATGGTGGAAGGTGCATAACTGTAAATTCCAGTTTTTGCTGAAACCAGTTTTGGACCTCAGCAGAACGATGAAAAGATACATTGTCCCAGACGACAATGTATCTCATCTGGTTCCTTTGGTTTGCAGCTGTGATAATGTGGTGTAATCTGTTCAGAAATATAAGAATGAGGTCAGTGTTGTAAGGACCTAAGTTGGCATGACGATGGAGGACCCCATTCTGTGATATGGCTGCACAAAGGGTAATATTACCCCCACGTTGCCCTGGTACATTGACAATAGCCCTGTGCCCAATGATATTTCTTCCTCTTCTTCTCACTGTACTTAGGTTAAATCCAGCCTCATCAATGTATATAAATTCATGCTGGACTTCATCCGCATCCATTTGCAAAACTCTCTGAAATAAAAAATCACATTGTGTAGATCAGTAGACTGTAAATCTGCTATGCAGGTAAATTGCATGTCCAGTTCCAAAACGTTATGTGTGCACTGCACCATACTACAGTCAATAAACACAACTTACCTCCGCATATTCACGCCGCAGGACTTTCACCCTATCTGCATTTCTCTCAAATGGAACTCTATACAGTTGTTTCATCTGGACTTGATGTTTTTTAAGGATACGGGCTATTGTTGACAGAGAGACTCGTTGGACATTATTGAAAACTGTGTAATCATTGACAATATGGGTTTGAATCTCTCTAAGTTTGATTGCATTATTGGCCAAAACAAGGTTTATGATCTCTCTCTCCTGCTCCTGTGTAAAAATGCAACCCCTCCCTCCTTGGTGTTCTCGACGTTCAATCCTGTGGGCCGAAACAAAATTGTTGCTAACTATAAACTGTTGATAGAGATAGTATATGTAGTAAGCTATGGATTGTCTGATGACAGAAGATACGCTTCTCACCTGTGCTCTTGACGAAATGTCCGAATTACTGATGCCACCGTGTACCTGCTTAGGTTAGGCTGTACTCTCAGTCCAGCCTCTCTAAGTGTAAGTCCATGATTTATTACATGGTCCACAAGTGTAGCACGAATTTCATTTGACAAATTTGGTTGTCTTCTTCTTGGTTCACGTCCTCCTACTCCTCCAGCTCTTCCTCTTCCTCTTCCTCCACCTTGTTCTCTCTGGATTCCTCCCCTCACCCGCACTCTCCTTCTTCCTCTCACACCGTCCATTTTTGTTGAAGACAGTGACCTATTGCCTTTTTATAGTGTTTGTTAACCTGATTGGTGTGTCTATAATTATTCACCTGTGTGTGTGCACACCTGGTGGCTGTGTTTAACTAATTGGTTCATGGGTGTGTTCATTTGAAAGCCTTTGCTTTGATATTGCAAGGAAGTAACATTATGATCAATTTCAGTGTCAAAGGTATATAAGTGTGTTTAGTGTTTTGCAAATCACTGTGTGTAATGTTTTGCAAAAAGTGTGAAGCTGTTAATGTGCTTATAGTTGTGCAGATCTGGGCTGGTGTTTTGCTCCTTGACTGTTTGGTTTTGGTAATTGTGGAAAAGTTTTAATTTTAGTGTGTAAGCAATCGCAAAAAACTGTAAGTGTAATAAAACAGGAAAATGTTTCCGTAGATATCGCGATGCAAACTAACTAGGCTTACCATACCTTGTTTCAGCAGCACTGTTGCGAGACTGGTTATCTAATACGCAGCTAGGCTGCTAAAATGTCCACGCTTGTTAGTTGTTCAAATTATCACTGATGTCGATAATCATTTTAATAAATCTTCATGAAAACAAATAGCGGATGTTTTTGCGCAGTGCTATAGCCTAAGTGGGAAAGAACAGGTGCCGGTACTGCCCTTGGTATTCAGTAGGCCCGCCACAGATACTGAGAGGAGCCGGTACTCAGAGGTGCTGGTACTGCGTACTGGTGAGTAGGTACCGGCCCACAAGAGGCACTGGTGGTGAAGGGAAGCGGGTGAAGTAAAGGGATTTAATCTAAACATACATTTTATCCTTTGGCAGAAGTTATTTCAGTGTCTCCAGAAACATTGATGAAGCAGCTCAAGCTGGTTATCGCGACGGAGGATCCGCCGATGCACATTAAGAAAGTCTTTAACTAGATTTGACACACAGAGTCAGATTTGCTTTTAGACTATTCCGTTCCGGTGGTTCTTCGATCGGCCCGGGGTTGAGCCATTTTCTGAGGAGGGATAAATTAAGAGACCATTCAGCAGCAACGGAAAGCAATACGCATTACGTGCTCTTACCAGACAGTTATCAGGCAATGAGTTAAACTTAGGCAGTATTGCCCCGCTCAGACTGATTTTGCACGAATCGCTGATTTAAACCTGAAACATAAAAACAGGATGTTGTGCCAAACTATAAAAATGTCTGTATGTTGTTATTTAATATTAATTACAGGCCTAAGTCAACGTGTCCCATAGTAGTTGCAAAAACAGGGCACATTCTGGTAAAGTTTGACATCTGTTTAAGTAATGCATGCATCATCAACCATTTGGGGGCAAATCGGTTCTTGAAATTTTGCTACAACCTTTTAAAGATTAAACAGCGGATTTGATTTGTCTGACCTTCCAAAACTGTCTGATCATGGCAAGCGTGAGGTAAGGCTGCAGACATCGCCGGGAATAGCAATTTGGGACGACCTAGCTAAGGCACTGATATATTATAAAGAAATGGTGTAAATCGGCCTACTAGTTGATTAAAAACGAATATTTTTAAAATGTATTTTGAATGGCGCGAATTCAGTCTGGAACCGACAGATAAAGGGGGCCAGTGTTTTTCGAGTGAAATGTAAAGTGAATCAGCTCTATGCAATTATATAATAACTAAACATCATACACTAACGTCATAGACTATTAATATTACAATCTACTAGGCATTCTTAAGCAGGTATTTCTTAAATCTTACATCACACCTTTCACTAGTCGGCGGCCCCATATCACTTACTGCCAGACGGTGCCACGCCAATTTTAATTTTAAAGTAAAGTTTATGCGCATTTTTAATAGGCGCATAAAATCTAGACTAGGCTATTTCTTTCCTGTGCACCCTCCCATCCCAAAGAGAAACGACTCGTAGAAATGTAAAAATATATCGGCACCATTCGACATATATGACTGGAACGAAATTAATTTCGGCCCACTTGGTGCTGCTCGCTGCTCCGCAGGTAGCTGTCACTGCCTGCCACACCAGCTACGGCCGTCCGCCGGTCACTATTGTTAATGCAATTTAATAAATATTGATATCGGAGGCCGGGGAAGACATCCATTTTTATTAAATCCACAGTGAAGACCTGCTGCGCGCACATTACCCCCAGTTATCTAACGCGTTTCATACAATTAGGCTTTTAGATCCGACCGTAATAGCATGAAAGGATTGTTTCATATTGTTACATGGAAATATAACCAATTATACATTTAATTGATTTATTTACTGCACTTTCTCAAAGTTTAAACACTGCCAGTTGCATTATTTATAAATACTGAACGGTAAATAAACGTCAGGGCTACATTGTGAAATTATCCTTGTGAAGGACTATACATTTAATTATTTTAATGAGGCACGTCTTAAGGCGAAAAGGACCGACCCACGTGAGACTCACGTTAACAGTTACAGGCTTACATCCTGTTACCCATTCCAACACAAAAAAGCGAAACACCTGGAGCGATGCTGAAGTACGATTGATGGACGGATATTTGCACTTATGAAAGAGCGGGTTTACTTCGTCGTCCAAATGTCACTGCGACCTTCGTTGTTTGTAGACTACTTTCTTTAACCCTGTCAGTGATTGAAAGGCAGCAAGACATGCACGTGACGTAAATTTTATACAGCCTACCATCTATTCAGGTAAATGAAATCAGCAGCAGTCATTATGACTGGATTATATTTGCTTTAGGCATTGCAGATGGATATCAGCACCACCTTCAACATAAATTATTCATTGTGCAATAGGCGAATGCTTTAACACGATTACTTATTTTGTATTGAATGTATTTGTTGTATGCTACCATGTTATACATTAGATTAGACTGCAATTTAGGTACACGCAGTTCAGACACAGCCTACAAATGAAGGTTTTCACGATTGGGGTGAATATTTTCTCAGTTGTCACAGAATTGGTTCTTTTTCTAACGCGTGCACCTTTCATTATTTGTAAAGGATTAGCTTCGGTTCCTGACGGACAGCCCTAACATGGTCCCATCAAAAACAGATAGCCTAATCATAGCAATAAGTAATAATTGAGCCAAAACAACCATAAACAAACACGTAGAAGAGAAAATGGGCGTAAATCATTGATTTATGATAGATGAGCGGTACTCAAAGCAAGCAGCGGTCCCCTGGGTGACATTAGGCTTCGATGATTGATATTGCACGGTGGTACGACTGAAAGCCGGCCCGCATCTATAAAGAGTCACGGGAAATACCGTATTCAGAACAACTCTGTAATCTCCCTTCTTTCCAGATCTTTCATTGCGCCGCATCGAAACGCCAGCGTGTTTCCTGATTGCCACGTCCTTTGTTGTTGATGATTGCTCCCTGAAGACCTCTGTCTTCAAAGCTACAGTCAGCTGACCCCGTTGTCCTCCCATTTAGCCATAACCCCAGCTTTTCACTTTGTTGTTTCCTTATAAGTATCTTCAGAACTCCTGCATTTTCCACTGTAAGTGTGGTGTCATCAGTATATCAAGTCTGTTATCTTATCTTGAATCATCCATGATTTGCCTTTTCTGATTTTGGCTTCTCTTTTGCCATTTTCACTATGCCTTCTTGGTCTTCCACTTTCATTTCTTTGTCTCTTTCATTTTTACCAATTTTCCTTCTTATTCCTCCTATAGATGACTTTGAATTCCATCCACACTTCCTTCGGTTCCCTTTGAAATACATCCAGCAACTCAAATTCAGTGGGTATATTTGTCACGTAATTTCTTGAAGTTGGATGACCTTGTTGTCACTTTACACTTTCACTTGGAGCTTGGCCACAGGCAACCACAATGTGTTCCACAATCTACCACAGGCCACATCTACTTCAACTGACTTCTTCCATGGTTGGGCACTAAGCATGTAGTCTGCCTGATTTGTGACTGCCCCCTGGTGATGTCCGGGTGTAAGGACCAAGCTGTGGTTGCTTGACGAATGTCTTGGCAATCAGGAGGACCTTGGTTTTGCAGAAGCTGATTATAATTTCTTACCAGCTTTGTTTCCCAAACTCTGCATTTCATTGTCATTCCAGTCTCTATTCACGAGGAATATATTATTTGCAGGTCCTGCCTGTTTCAGCCTGAACTTGGCCATAAAACTTTGTCTTCTGCTTCTGCTTCATGCACCTCAGCTGCTGGGGAATAAGGCGGTAAAAGCCGTCATACTGGGGGACCCACAAAATTCACACCAGTCATTCACAGGATTGTGTCCATTTACAGTCTGTTTGACATCCTTCCCATCTATGCCAGTTTCTTCATTGTCCATTTCCTGTGTAAATCAATGAATTTCGTGTCCAAATCCAATCCCGTGAAGTACATTTACGCCTACAATGTAATTGTAGATGTAATTGGTAAGGCAGGTTCACCTCTGCTAAGATCTGTTTCCCATGGGAGGCTGTAGTAGTCAAGAACTGCAGAAACAGCTTTTAGCTTCTCTGATGCACACAAGATTCTCCACAGTGGCAAGGGACCAAACTACGAGGAGAATCTCACTTCCTAGAAGGTGCTACTCTATGGCAAGTTCCTGTGCAGAGCTGTGGAAGTCAGGAGCACCACCTTCAGTTTCACTATTAAAATGGTAACAAAGTGTTAAGTCACACATAATGGAAACATGTCTTACAAAAGAAAGAATCCCAACTCATCTTTATTAAACCAGTAAGAACCTGGGTGACCAATTAATTTTTAAAAATTCTGAAATTAGACAGTAAAACAGGAACATAAGTGAGATATGAAGTTGGGTTGAGACCATGTGACCCAAGCAGGTGACCTGGAGCCACGACAGTGTTTCTGACAGGAAATCCATTAAACGCTGATGGGCCTGTGGTGTCCAGGACCATTTACCCTCATGTTTACTGATCCGGGTTGCAGGACCCAAGAGGGACGGGTATCTCCTGATAGTTCATCTGCACTCATTCATCACGCCAATAAATAGACCTTTGCATCTGAATTTTGTCTCCACCCCGGTTTCAAACGCTCTCCTGTGCGGTTGCATTCTTCAATACTCCCTTTTGGGTGTACACTGTAATTAGCATTGTGACCTGGGAGAGGAACTATCTAGAAAGAAACATTTTAAACCCCCAATTGCAACATTCACAGGATTTCATGACAACTATGCAGCAGTAAAGAACTCGCTAAGGAATGGGACATGTAATGAAGGACGGGGGGCTATGAGTGCCAGTCCTTTATGCCCCCAGAATCGACTGTGCGGTTGCTATGCAAACACAAACACCATCTTCCTCCCTCTCGCTCCAGCTGCCACTCCTCCTCAAATGTCTGCTGCTCGCTGTTTTCCCTTCAGTTACATTTGTTCCTGTGATTAAGAGGCTGCAGGCATCCGCTGGGGGCACCTGGGGAGTCGAAAACACACCGGCAGCTGGTAAATTGTACTTGAGAGTCGGTTAAGGGCTCTGTTTTAATGTGCTGTAACGTGGTCTAAAAACAAATATCTCAGGGAAAGGCAGAAATATATTTCCACCAACGTGTTTCTGTATCGCAGTACACCATTAACTTACGGATAATGGGTTTAATTCTATGTGAATTTCAATTGGGCGTTTAGACCAATAGGGTTTCTGGCATCTGTGGTAACACCAATCAGCAGCTACGACTGAATCTTGTATTTCGATAGCTACACTGTGCACTTAATTACGATGCCGCTCACCCTCATCCTCCCCCAGCATGTGAATTTAAAAGGTAAATATCATAAGCAGGACGGGTGATTTGCTCAGCGAAAGGTCGGATGTTGTCGAACAAACTCCGACCCTGACAGCAGGAAGTAATTACGAGGATGGACAGATGCGGAAGCAGACAAGGAAAACGACAGCCGATACATTTTTGTACGGTCATCACAGACGGCGGATTAACAAGCCCAGCAGAGTTAGTGTTTGCTCCAGCATCCGATTCCCTTTGCTCTCCTGTCATTCCCAAAGGCCCCAGAATGATTTTTCATAGCTACAGGAAATAAAGTGACAATAATTCTTTCGCATCGCTTCTAAAAAGGAATCTGACATGCAATAATCATCTTCAAAAAATGGCTCATACAAGTTACGTGAAATGATGAGATACAGTGCACTGGAGTAACTGCGTCAGACTGATGAAGATCAAACACATTCGCCAGCTAAGAAGAATTGTCTGTTGCATTATTGGCACGATGGACTTACTGAACTTTGGATCGTGTGCTAGGAGCCCTCTGGCTCTGCAGCGAGCGCGAGATCCTGGCCGTCGCATGGCTCCTGCAGTGGACCTCCAGGTTCACCTTCCTGCTGAAGGCCCGCCCACACACATCACAAGTGTGAGGGGGGATCTTCTTCTTGACTTTCTTCTCAGTGCCTCCCTCAATGGTGGTGGAAGACCTGCGGGCAGAGGTTTCCCTGTGGAGAGCAGGCGACCAGGCAGCCCCACCATGACCACGACTGCTGGCCTTTGTGGTCTTCCACTGTGTGGTCTGCCTGTCGAGAACCATCTCCACCGGCTTCTTGATAGCCTGGCTCACTACCTTGGGCATGACCTTATCTAGGTAGCTCGATAGCTTCTTGTGCACCACCTTCATGTGTCGGATGAGGTCTGATGTGCGGCGCGACTCGTAGATGCAGAGGGGGCAACGGAAGAACTTGATGAAGATCTCGTTGCCCTCTACATGCCGGTCAATGTGCTTCCTCAGGTTCTTGCCAGAGGTGAACTGCCTCTTGCAAATTCGACAGTAGTGCTGCTTTAGGTCAAACCCAATCTGGAGTTTGGGGCTGCCCAGCCTGAGGCCTTGGGGTTCCTGCGAGGTCTTGGTCATCCCACCCATCTGACCCGCGGGCTCGATCTTGGTTCTGATGCTGGGCTTCTTCGGAGCACTCTTCCGACTGGGCCGTGTTGTGCGAAAGACATACTTGTGTCTTGTCATCATCTTATGCTGAGGAGATGCTGGTGAGCACTTTCCACCTCCTGGTTTGCCCGTAGCAGCAGAACCCTGGTATTGAGCACGGTGCTCACTGTCAAGATGACGCTGCATAATGGCTTTGGAGACAAAGGGCTTCCCGCACACACCACAGCTGTGGCCAGGAGTACCTCGGGGGCACTGTGACCGGCCTCTCCCCCCAGACTGAAGACCGACAGGCAGAGGGAGCTTCCCTCTGAGTCTCCTCAGGTCATCAGGGTTGTCCTTGTGGACCCTGAGGCAATGCTGACGCAATCGGCAGAGCGAGCTGAAATCCTTCCCACACAAGGTGCAGGAGATGCTCAAGGCATCTGCTTGATTGGCTTTCTCCTCATCTCCCTTTGCCTTTATCCGTTCTACCTCCTGGTTGCCGAGTTTGACCTTCACCAGCCTGTTTGAGTCATCAGTCTTGATCTCCTTCTCTACAGTCACGTCAGCTAGGTGCTCCTTAAGACTCTCATGGTCATGGTCAATCTGATGGGCAGTTTCCTGCTCTCTGCGCTGGCGCTGGTTCTCCTCACTAGAAAAAATATTCTGGGTGCTCTTGTGAACCTGCTTGACCACACTGACTGGCCTGTCCTTCAGCAGGTCCATCATTGGCTGGTTCTGATCACCCGGGGATACGACTATAGAGAAACAAAAATATAATATCAATATGTGGAACGACAGGAGGGTCTACTGACAGACACCGGAGGAAGTACAAGAGGATGAAAAAGACCCACTGACCGCCAGCCTCGTCCGACCTGGAGAAGCAGTAGAACTCCTTGTGCCTGACGAGGTTGGGCAGGCCACGAAATAAGCTGCGGCACAGTTTGCACTCAAATATGGTGTCCACCTCCCTCAGAAGTGTGTGCATGAGCTCTGCAGTGCCTGCAGGGTCAACGCAAGCCCAATAGCAATCATGAGATGGTCAGGCACACATCTGGAGCAAATGGAGCAGGGGGGAGGATCTCATACCAGAGCGGAAGCACTCGATTATCTGCTCGATGCCAGACATGGAGGTAAAGGTCTGCTTCTGCACGGAGGAGAGCTCTCCAGGGCCCAGGGTGCGTACTGAAGAAAAAGAGAAACACAACAGAGATCTTTCATACAAGAAACTTACTTGGGGAAACAGACAAGACCAGCCTACATCCATCTACACTGTGTAGAACCACCCTGTTCATAGTGTCCAAGTCAATATTTCACTTCTGTTGCACAAATTTTATAGGTTATATTCCGCCTTTTGTTAGCCCTACAGCTACGTCCGGATCCACAGCTCCGAAAGCACAAGAAGATCTTTCTCCTCAGTTGCGTCATGCCCTGTTCCTCTCAGTAGGGCAGAAAGTGGATTTCATGCTGCCCGTGTGAAGAGGTTGATCTGTCCGCAGGCCGCGCGTGCAGACATCATCTTGCGGACGAGTCTGTCCCACGGGAATCGACGAGTCGGTGCTTCAAATACACAAGCTGTAAACATCAATATCAGCTTCATTTGTGATGCTGATTGGCTGGGTGGCTCATAAGAAGCCTCTATCAGCTTGGCCTTGGACACCAATAGGCAGGGATGGAGAAGAGACCAATCGAAGTACTCCATCGCGTATTTCCCCCCATGAAGCCCTACTTCACTGTGATGTCCATCTTGTTAACTCACGACCATGAGGACCTGGTCCTCTGACGAAAAAAATAGATGCCTTATTTCCTATTTGCTGAAATTCAAAAACAGATACATTGGAACGCTCTAGGTTTTGCACATCCCACCACACTCTCCTTCTGAGACCTACACACGCATAAAGGTGAGAGGGAAGCTGAGCACCCCTGGAAAAATTAGGGATTAAGGGCCTAGTCTGAGCCCTAGGATCAGAACCAGCAATCTTCCAATCACTGGCAGAGAAACAGACAAGAAGTGGGCATCTAGCGGCCGACGCGGCGGAAAACCTTCCTACGCACTTTCTTCGGTAGAACCAGCAGAACGTCAGAGGCTCCCTTTATTCTGTGCCCTGACAGACCCCGGCCACATCTGTCATCGTTCACTTCCAAAAGGAGCAAATTCCTCCCAAATCTCATTTCCAATTCAAATCTCAAAATTCCTATTTAAATTCCTTCTGTGAACTTGATTTTTTTTCCCCCCAGATTCTCTGTCATCTCCTAATTAATTGTGTTTCTCTCCGCAGTGCGGAAGACCTATTGGTTATCATTTGCTCTGCTATTTGAGCTATAATCTTGATTCATAATCTGATGTCTGATGCACTGTAATCAGCAAAATGTTTTCAGACACACAGGGCCATGCGCAGCTTATTAATTAATTTTTCCTGAAAACTGTGTAAACATGGATAATTAATTTACTGGTTTCACAAATGGTTTAATTAATTTCCCTCAATCAGGACCAGGTCATTGCATTGCCAGCCTCGGTTCAGAAGGCTGCATTGAGACCTGCTACGGCAGGGAGACCCACCTTGTGTTTGAGGTGATGTACTGGGGACGGCGGGACCTGGCTGGCTGAGGTCAGGGTGGGATGGCTCTGTCTGACAGCAGCCGTCTCTGGTCAGGACAGTCTTGCCTTTCCTTTCCATCTCAGCGTGATGCTAAGCCGGGAAGAAAAGTAAAATCTTCACCACAAACACTAGCAATCTAGCAAATAAAATACCAAATATGGTATTATGTACCAACCAAAAAAGTATTAAATATATATTTTTTTTTCCCGGAGGGCAGTTCTGTGGGTTGGGACTCAGAAGGTTGCCTGTTCAAATCCCTGGTTCGGCAGAGTGATCCCACCATTGGGCCCTTGAGTGAGGCCCTTAACCCCAATTGCTCCAGGGACTGTCTGACCGTGCTGTCTCCTCTACCTCAGTTCCATGAGGCCACCTGTGATGCTTCTCCAGCCGTCCTGAAGGTCCCACATATAGGCCGAGTTCTCATTGGCCGCTTTTCCTTCACTCTCTCTGCTGTGTTTAGGTCAGGTGGCCAGGTCATGTGATGTGACACTATCACCCTGCTTTGTAGATGACTTCCGAATGGTACTGTAGAGGTAGGTAAGAGGCGTGTGCTGATTACGGCGCATTGCTGCTCCCATCACACAACAAACCACCTCAGGGATGGGAACCTGAGTGAAGCCATGTGGCAGGTGACACCTCAGCACCACACTAGTCCGAATGGACCAGTGTGAGTTTTTTTCCAGTGGCAGGTATTAAAATTACAAGTTTGCCACCCCCCCATGAGCACGTCTCTATTATACAGGGATCCCAACGGGTTCCAAGATGGTGGCGCAGGAGGTAGTGCTATCGTTCGGCAACTGGAAGGTTGCAGGTTCGAGCCCTGGTTCCGCCTGACCCCATCAAAGTGTCCTTGAGCAAGACACTGAACCCCAAATTGCTCCCGGTGTGCAGGTCGGCACCTTGCATGGCAGCCTCTGCCACTGGTGTATGAATGTGAGTGTGGATGGTGAATGTGAGGCATACATTGTAAAGCGCTTTGAGTACTCGTAGGAGTAGAAAAGTGCTATATAAATGCAGTCCATTTACCATTCCAAGTACCGCTGCTGACTCACAGCCTTAATATGTGCATGTTTACTCAGCTTTGCTTTCAGACGTCGGTCCAGCTTGCAGGATGCTGGCCAGCCTACCTCCAGCCCATCTTAAACACAGGCACACGCACACCCGGCGAGAGCCATGCCTAATTAGTGAGGCTGACAAGAATCCAATGGAATGTAAAACCTGTTTGTAATACAACAACCTTTGACCTCTGAGGAAGGGCTGTGGAAGCTGGGAGCATTTCACACATGGAGTCAAACCGTCTGTGTGTCACACACTTACATTCCTTATATCTGAGGAATGGAAAAGGTGGACCCGTCTGTCTGTATACTCCTGAACTCTGCCGCTTCCCCATGTCTTTGCGTAGGTCTCCTTAAACTAAAACATTATTTTAGCAACTGTGTGATGTCTGTACTGTAAATGAGAATTAGGTATCAGTTGACTTCCATTAATCTTAAAGAATTTATTAATCACCTGTTCAACCCCAGTGACCATTAACCTAGATCTGCTTATTGTCAGAAATAAATCTGTTCAACTTCTCGGATACGAATTAAAGCAAAACAAAAACAAAAAAAATCACAGCCGTGTCAATATACAACTTCCAGTAGATGGCGCCATAACCTACTGGATTAGTTCCTGATGCAGAGCATAATGCAGACATCCAATAGAGAAAGCCTAAAAGCCTCCAGCCTCGTTTCCACAATCAGAGAACAGACTGGAAGTGGTTCTTTACTGGCAGAATAAAATCACAAGCTGTTTTAATTGGCCACTAGAGCAGAGTGGGCGGGTACTTTTCTGCCAGAGGCATTTGAACAGCACGAACTGTTTTAATAAGAGCAGTTCCAAGTTTACTGAGCTTTTTTGTTGAGATCTTCAAGCTGTGCTGACATTGCTATGTCGACGAACGTGTCCCAAGGAATCGCAGCCTGTTCAGAAAAACCATCCTCAATCATGCTGCCGCAGTTCCTGAACTGTCCCTCGCTGTTGCACCAGGGGGCGCTCTTCTCACATAAGAGGTGAATCATGAGGAATAGCGGGAAACAAAAGAGAGAGGCTGTTTCTCTCTTATCGTCAACCTGCCACTCAGTGCAGCAGCAGGGGTCCAGTGGAAGGAACAGGTTCACGATACACCTAGAACAGCATCAGGGTGCTGCTGGGCCCACATGGAAAACCAGAAAGTAACTGAACAGAAATGAACCTAAGATGACAAACCATAGTTCACATAACCTTTGTCGAGATATTATTCATCTGTTAAGGCTTTAATTGTGTACGCTGTACTGTGAAAAAAGCCTCTATGTCCTGTTAGAAGATGCAGTGGTGGAGGAAGTACTCAAAGACTTTACTTAAGTAAAAGTAGAAATTAAACAGGCAAAATGTACTCTGTAAAAGTTAAAGTACTTCATTAGCCTTTCCACTTAAGTAAAAGTAAGTACTTGCTTGGAAATATACTTAAAGCATTAAAGTAAAAGTACTTGTAGTTCCTGTTGGAGCTGTGTAATATACCATTAAGTGCATCTGCTGCATGCAAATTCTGTTAAATACAAAAATTCATGCATGATACTGTTGTATTTTCTAATCTAAACATTTAAAATTTGAAATGCTAGGTTATAATAAATGCTTCAGAAACATTGCATTGCGTTAGCTGAAGCTGGGTTTACAAAATTAACCAGCTACAGTGATTAATGGTGATAAGTTCATCCAAGCCCAGCACCTGCTCTCAGGCATACAGTTCAATACATCAAGCGCTGATATGCGTGTAGGGCTGCGTGATACATATACTGTATGGCAATAGAAAAATATGGTAATTTTTACATAACCATTCATTCACTGAATTTATAGAAAAAGTGCTATATCGTGATATGTATCATTATCGGGATATGAGCTTTTTGTCATATTGTAAAGCCCTACGTGTGTGTTATTAAATAAAACTTACCAGCTATTGGCCACAGGATGCAGATTTATCACTTGGCTCTGACACTATTGACATGCTATTCACAGCTCACCAGTAAGTCAGCCTGATCACAAACATCCCAGCATCACCTCCTGCCATTTCCAGAGCCACTTTCCATAGTGAATCAACAGGTGGTGTTTGTACTGCACACTGTATAGCCGATCAATCTCTGCAGCCGGAGGAAACTCCCTGCCCTTAGGTTTCATCTTATAAAGGTTTCTAAAAGCTAACAGGATTCGAAACCACTGATGCTAATGAGAAGAGCTCAGAAATCTCAGCATTATTCGTCTCATCACTGCCTTTATCCGATTTTAAAAAAACAGCAATGATTATAAAATGTAACATAACACTAAGGAGAAATGTTGGGGAGAAAAAAAGTACAAATATTTGCTGTAAGATGTAGCAGAGTAACAGTCAAAAGTATCCACAGCTAAATCTCCTTGAGCAGAGTATCGAAGTAACAATGCTTTGTTACTGTCCACCACTGAGAAGACCGAACTTTCTCTGAAGTACAGCAATACTAACAAAAACGTTGTTAAATAACTAGAAGTTAAAAAAAAAAAACACCCAGTTACGTTCAATTAAGCAGCAGACATATGCATCCAAACCATCATACAACTGAGTGAGCACAGCCAACCAATCACTGGGGCAACTGGGATTAAGGGCCACACACCAGTCAGGAAGGAAACGCAACCTCCATTTCACACTTAAAACTTTAAGTTACCTCAGTTTGCTGGTTATAATGCAAACTCTGAAGCTTCTCTATGTAATAAACCGTATATTACAACGTGCCAATCAATCAATCAAGGCTCTTACTCAGTGACACTGTGGTCACGGGCCAAGCAGGATGTCCTGAGACTGTGAACTTCAGAGAACATCCCTGACCATTGGCAGGCACACATCAAGTCAACCTGATTACAGTCACTGCTTATTATTAAGCAGTTATAAAAAAAAAAAACAGGCCCTTCTCTAAATAAGCCTAAATGTGACAGATGCATTGGGACAGGAATGCCAAGTGGGCAGTGTAATCAGGACAGCATGTTTCATGAAGCCTTCACAAAATGCAGGTCTCTTTGCCCCCAACAGCCATTAAGAGTAGTAGTGAGGCACACTGGGAAGGCCCTACAGTTACATAAAGCAGTCATCTGTGTCAGTGCTGGGGGGGGGGGGAGTTCATTCATAAAAATAAGACAACATGCATTCATTCTGGTCTTCTAGGTCTGACTAACCTGGAAGCAGATCTTCTTTTAAGACATCGCTGATCAGATGTAACTGATCAGACCAGTTCCACAGATCCGACATTACATACGGAGCACAGGATCCTTAAGCTTACAGACGCAAGATCTGCTCTATTAATATATGAATAAACTAATTATGACAGTAGTGCAGCAGGCACCGTTAAAATCCTTCCGCTTCTTCCGTCTGCACAAATTTCTACATTTCGTGCATTATCACCTGTCATCACAAGGGCGCGGGATTTTTTGCAGCGCATTAGCCAGAGGTTTGGGAAGTTATTTCTGAAGCAATTCATGAGAAGAACCGATGTCCTGCTGTGTGCAGTTTTGGTCATTGTGTAGAAAACACCCGGCAGAAGTGACGCAGATAAGCAAGTGGACGCCTAACAAACTCATTTTATATTTTATCTCCCGAAAGTAGATTCAGTTTGTAAAACATGTGGGTTTATGAAGGGAGTGCAAGACGTTCGGGTGGCTGAGGCGGCTGATATTCACAAAACACCGCCACGGTTACGCAGCTAAACTTTCATGTTTACACGGACGTCCTGTTTGCCCACAAAGTGCAGCCTCTTCTGCGGCGTGGGAGCGCAGTGCAGTTTGTCACTGTCACAAAGCGATTAATACTGTGCTGTTACTCCCGGGAAATCACATCACACCTCATATTATCTGCGTCCAGAAACGCCACTTTCTGCAACCATCGAATGCCAGAGGGACTCGATCAAACGCAAAGTCTAAGTGCAAATGGCACCTTTTTAAAGCCGTCAAAGGCCTCCCTGCACGGGCTGATGTGCCACGCAGCAAAGGGCGAAAAAATAACAAAACGCAGCATCTCCCTAAGTAAGTTAAGGGAAAGCAGCCAGAATATCGGAGTAAACAATTGAACTTTTACAAGAAGTCCCGCTAAAGTGGTATTTAATGAAAGCACGGACAGGCTGCGCGTCCACGTCCCTGTGCCACCCTTTCCAAGCCGCTCCTTGACGCGCAGAAAGCGGCCACCGTCCAGGCGTTACGCGTCTTTCCGCCGCCCGGTCGAAATGGGTTCGGGACGCACGCCAGAGGAGGTCAGGCGCAGCTTCAAAATCAGGGCGATCTCCCCTTCCTTTCTGCGGGAAGAGCAGAAGAGCAAACGGGGGACGCCATTTTCTGCAAAAGCACGGCGAGGCGGACGCACGGCTTCGGCTCCCTTTAAACGCGGGTTTAAAGGCACGCTGGGCTCCGCGCAGTCCGGTCTCACCTGTGCCGCTTCAAGGGAAACCGTTTGCAAAGGAGCGCCTCGGAAAGCGCGTCCCGGCGTGGCGAGCGGGGACACCGTGCGGCCGCGATCACGGCTCCGCTCCGCAGCTGCCTCCGTGCGCTTCTCCTCTACAGGCGCTTCTGCGCAAAGGTGCGGCGTCGGTTCGAGTCCGGAGCGCCGCTGCCCCCGGCGCCGCCGTCGCTGTCACCTGCGCTAAGAAGCCCGCGGCGCTCCAGCTATTTTTCTGTTCTTTTTGGTGAAACCGGCGTGTTGAAAATGACGCTAATTAAAACGTCGTTTTTGACCGCGTTGTTTCGTCCATGTTTTTGATAATTTAATTCAGCCTAAGAGTAGTGAAGACGACAAAAACAGTTAACTAAATAATTAAAATTCACTTTTATTACTCAGAAATGGGTATTACCCGTGGCTTTTACATTGTACAATGTAATTAACGTCAGGAAAATATTTTGTTTCTGCATGGTTTCTTTACAACAGCCCCAAAACGAATGCAGTTTTAATTATGCATACAATTTCCCTTCTACGAGAACAACATATACAATTTGTCAGGCACTAAAGTTTCACAATTTGTCAGACGAAGTAACATTAAAATAAGATACTGGTGCATTCGAACTTGCATTTGATCTGCGGTAAATTCTGTTTCGGCAGCTTCACTGTGTCCGACACTAATTGCAAACCAGCCGGCTTGTCTCAGCCTCCTCTTCACATTCATGTATGTAATAAACATATACGTTTCTCTCGTGTAGTGACAATCGGCCATCATACTACTTTAAATGGTTCTGCCACAAAACTTACTAACCAAACCTTATAGGATCGAGCTATGCAGCTGCTGGAGATATACATCATAACATGTACATGGAGAAGAAAGAATTATTAAATATCATTAATTACAGCTGGAAAAAAAGAGCTTGCCCATCTTAAATGTCAGGAGTCTGTACCTAAAATCCACCACCCCCCCCCTCCAAAAAAAAAATGCATCCACATCACCCGTAAAACATCTCAGCCATCTCCTGTATTTTAGGTTCATAGTGGTTAAGGGACTATTTAAAACCAGTTTCTTTTAAATATAATTTTGGATACATTGTAAAACAGACAAAAGCACAAACACATGTGTTCACAAGGCTTTAAAGGTTGTCGAGCTTTTTAATAAACCTTCTCGCCTGCAAAACAAGAGAAAGAGCATTTACTTTCTTATACAGAATGTTTATGTAATCTTATACGTGTACATGTGAATTCAAACCACAAAAACACTGACATTTAAATAGGCTACGTATATGAAAACGAATTAATTTTAGCAATGAAATGATGCTTTATTGCAGAAAAACAGTGAGTAAAGGACCGTGTCTGATTATTACCCGCTGCACGAGCGTAGGTGAATTGGCATTTCTAACAGCCTACAAGCCTATATGAGCAGCCAGGAGATGGATGAATGGATGGACGAAAAACCGTTACAGGGCCGCTTTGTGGAAGTCAAGTTTCAAGATAAAATCATTTAACTAAAGTGAATCGAGTCCTCAGGTGACAAAGAATTTGAATCATGTATCTCAGCCTGCAGGATCACATTTCATTCTGAGAGTCATAAGTTTAGGGCGGAGTACCAAACCAAGCATGGTTTTTTTTTCTTCAGATTTAAGTCATATACATTTTCGCAGTTAATTCATTTTATATGAACCACCTGCAGCAATCATGACAAATCTTTATAAATATTGAACTAGTGAATATTTCAGAAAATAAATATATAATAGTCTTGCCACTGTGATCATTCTAACACAGTTTAAATACAGTGAAAAATTAATGCGGTTTTATAAGAATTGTGCACTCACGCCTCCGTCTTGAAGGTCTCTCGAGATATCTGGTCTGTGGAGGCACCTTCGGGAGACTCATCAAAGTCCTTGACTCCTAAAGTAGTTAAAGCTGCAAATGACAACATTTTTAAAATCTACGCTAAGTAGCCTATAATAAGCAGGTCTCAGCGCCGTAGCGAATTTTAGAAGACATTTTGATAAAATGCATTTTTCTTACTTAAGACATAGTATTTAAAACGTAGCCTTCGCCGTGTTTTTCGTAATCATAGCATTTTGCCACGGAGTGTTTGTGTGTCTGTGTACGGACCGGCTGACGATCCCGTTAACGTGTGACTGTAAAGGGCGCTGCCACGACGGACGTACCCGCCCTGTACTGGGCCGCACTGATGTGCCCACGGCCGGTGGGGTCCAGTATACCGAACAGCACGTCCAAACTGGGGGCGTCGAAGAGGCAAGGGCACGGCGCCTCCCCGCGCCTGGAAGCCTTCAACAGCTCCAGCTGTTCGATCAGAAACTCCCGCGGTCGTTCTGTGTTTAAGAAACAATAATCAAAGAAAGCAAAACCATTACACAGCCCACCGGCAGCCAACCATCGCAGGTCAGCTGACCAATTAAGGATCCCAGATTGAGTTAATGAACCGACAGCTAACTAACCAGCGTAACACATACTGCTGAGATTTTAAAGCCCAAAAACTGGTTCGGAGGCTTAAATAATAATGCGAGCCCACTCACCCGGTCTGTGGAAAAACAGCATGCTAGTTAAACTGTGTAAGAGGTCGTCTATTCGGTGATCCCGCAAGTAGCGCGCCGCCTCCTCCTCCCGCGGAGTCGCCATGTTGTTTGGCGCCGTTGCTATGCGACGACGAGAGGCGATTCGTGCGTGCGGGTGCATTTCACGGCCGTCCACGAGAAACTGTAGGGGCGGGGTCTGTGAAACCCGGGACTGTTTAGGATCTATACAAATATATCTGTACGCGGAGTTTGGGGTGCAGTGAGTACAGCTTCCTGTCTGCACTGAGCCTGTTGCTCACCAGCAGCAGCGAAATTCATTGTTTTCAAAACTATCAGCAGTCTGTCAGCTCCGGAAGATATGGATGTTGATCCTGAAGCGCAGAAGACTGGTTTTCATAAATTAGACCCAGGAGGTGCTTTCCTGAAGCGCTCATAGATTTGGGTGAATAAACACAAGCAGGTTCACACAGAAGTCCCGCCCAAACCGGAATCCGCACAAACACACACACTTACATCGAGATGCACCATGCCTGTCACCACTCATCCTCTGATAAATTTCCATCCCCACTTCACATTTTCAGGGGTTTCAAATGTTTTAGCTGCATCCAATTCACTGATGACACAAGACACTGATTTCTTACAAACATATAAATTATTATTTTTTATTTACAAAGCCAGGTACAAAACAAACAGGAAGTCACCGCCTTTTCTCGGGTGATGTTTCGTGGCACTATCTCTTTAATTCCTTCATTTATAACACTCTGAATCCCACAATCGCTGTATTCCTCTCATGCTGCTTTTGTTGACCACACCTCAGGGTATCTACACACATCACTCAAGCTATTTGGGAGCAATTTAATGCAGATTTTCTTAAAGGGGACAGCAGTCGTACTAAAAGTGATTTCGATTTTTTTCAGCACCCAGCCGTTATCAGCTTCTGGACATTTAACAGGTAACGTAAGATAGTGAAAGATACAAACCGAAATTGAATCAGACCTCAAAAATGTAGGTTTCCTTTAATAATACCGTAAGTTATATTTTTAAGTCTCGTTTGAAAATGTGTAAAAGGCAAGTCTGAGACAGCGTCTCTGCATAAGAATTCCCACAAATCAAATAACTCTTAGCTACAAAATTTGGTCAGCACTGTTTACAATGAATACAAAAATAAGGCATTTTTAAACACTTCATACAGTGTGTAGGACCGGGACTGAACACTGGGAGCAGTATTTCAAATGCGATCTCCTTAGCTGCCAACTGCCAGTGGTTTGAGTCTGAAAGGAAAGTCACCTGACTGTAAAGGTTTGAATTCAGTAACCGAATGTTACAAAAATTTATCACTAATCTGTTTCTGTAAGGGCTGGTGGTACCAGTGTCCATTAACAAAGTGGGGCCCTTTTGGGAGGGACGAGACTTACGGTCAGACCTTAAAGGAAGCCTTGGGCCTTTCTAGGCATGGAAAACATCCCATAATCCCAGGGAGTCCATGAAAGAAGGAAGCAGTCAGCCCTGTGTCAAATCCTTCCAGCGAAACGGATTGGGATTAATAATCCAAAAAGCTACCTGAGGAGCACATGTTACCGTCTGTGCATTTGTGTGGGTTATGATTTTATGGTCAATTTTACCTTCAAACACTGGATGCCACGATTAGGAAGTGAAACCCGCTATGGTAGAGATGTGGGATCATCTGTGAACATTACGGTCTTAAACAATTGAAGTAAATCGTTAAATTGCTTGTTGCTATTAATGAGAAGCATAACTATTTTAACCATATCACTTACTGTTGCATGGAAAATGTTAACATGAAGAAAATCTGGTTACGGTGACCGAAGATCCCAGCTCAAAACCACAGGAGCATCGGCAAACAGGCATCAGAGGGGCCATCGGACTTGGGTTTTGACGCCAGTGCTGAGACAGGAGATCAACCGTGACCCAACAGGCAGGATCTCTGGGCAGAAGGTCGTCCAGGAGTGACAGCTGAGGAGGACTGAAGGAGTTTCTACAGGGGGCAGCAGAGTCCCAAGGCTGGGAGAGACCTGTCACCAATCTCATGCCTCCCTCACAGGAACGCAGGCAATGCTGGGGCCTCTTGTAGCAGGACAATCAGGAAAAAAAAAATCACACAATGCCTGGTTTGTTAGTCCTATCAGCTATGGCTGTTTGAAGCAATTGCTTTTAAATACTGAAATAAATAAAAATGTTCCTGAAACGGGACAGAAAGTGCATTCAAGCAATCCAGCTGGTATCATACGCCCAGGATTTAACAAAATGATGCTGCCTATGTGGAATTAAACCGCGACCGTGGGACCGGACCAGAATTCGCCGGCCATCTGCGCACATCTGTGCAGTGCCACCTGTTACCAGAAGGGGTGCCCAAGCGCAGGGGACGTACCTGTGACAGGAGGAAGCCGTAAAAGCGGCCTCATGAAAGTTAACGACGCCAGGGGAGGGGGCACAGGGCATGGGATACAGTCTGCCTGAGCCTGTGATGCTATTGGGGGAGAGGGTGTCATGGTAACGGCCTGGTCCAAGACGTGGGAGGGGGGAATCACAGCTTAGCAAAGTCAATTCAGCTGCCACAGACATCAAGGAAGTTCTACTAAGTTTACCACAGTGGGCCCATTAATGTCGTCCATTCCAGGACTCACAGCCTACTCAGAATTTCACGGTGCTCATCTGACTGGGAACCTTCAAGTCCTTAACCACAGAATATTAATAAATACAAAAATAACAAAAGATAAATTCTATCTCTCGACAGCCACACTACGACATTGCTTTTAGCTTGAAAAAGGGATTTTTAAGCAGTCGCAGCATGAAGCTGGTCAGCTAGAAAGAAACTGACATACAAAACCAACCTGACAATTTCGAACTTCTCAACTTTGTCTTACTCGCAATATGTAAAACAAACAGTAAGAGTATGACTTCGTCAAATATTAAAGCGCAGCTTGCAAAAAGACACTCGCGTAACAAAATTCCCTTGGTTCGACGCTCAGAAGGTTTAGATCCTCCAGCCTGATTACTGTCAAGGCGTGAAGCTAAGTGCACTTTTAACACTGTCCTGCAGGGGGAGCACAAGAGTCGGTCAGCACCTGCCGCAGGTAGACAGGCCAAAATGACAGCAAATGTTAGTCCTCCATGTAGGAAAATCCCACTGATAAACGACATCCTTCCTGGCAACAAGCAACAACTTCCACTAAAAAACGAAAACACGGAAACCGGAGTGGATTTTGTAAATGTCAGACGTCCGGATGAAATGCGTGAAGTTTCACGTCGACGCGGAAACCGGCTGAAGTTTTGCAGGCGAGGACTGTGAATGTCTGAAGTTGCCTAACCAGCGCGAGCGGAAACGGGCCACTTTGGTGCCGATCCAAACTGGAGCGTTTCCTCTGGAGCCGCATTCCAGGCGATTCCGAGACGGCATCTCCGTGTCCAGGAAAAGGCGGAAGTTGACAAAAGAATGGAGAGAGGCCGGGGTAGGCGACGTGTGGGAGGAGCTGTTGGACGGAGACACGGAACCTTCCGGAAAGCGAGTCATCCGCACAGGCCCACGCAAACACCCTGAACAGCCTCCAATCCTTCAGCGACGACTGTCGCCACTCCAGGACACAGTGGCCCGTTACACGCGGCCCGTCAGTGCTGAATCTTCGGCTGTGGACCGCAAAAGGCACAGGCGGTCAATGAAGCCCCTAGGGGGCGCCATCACTAGAGACCATGAATACCGCCAGACAGGAGAGTATATGGACAATATGTGGTGTATACTTATTGTTCCTGTATTCCCATTGTTCCTGTCTCGTCTTTTATTGCACTGCTGTGTGTCATGCTGTCCCCCCATGTCCCCCCTGCAAGTGCGGCACAAGAATTTCACTGTGTTCCTCACAACATGTGTGACAGTTAAACCCGAACCCTGTGCATCGACAGTGTGCGGGACAAGACAACGCGGCTGTGAGGTGCTTGAGCAGCGGCTCTCATAAACCATGAGCTACATACATACATCCAAATTTACACGGCTGTGTTTTTTACGGAGCCTTCCGAGCTAAGTGTGCCCAAAGGTATTCTGCCAGATCCTGTAACCCCCCAACCATCCCCCAGGGGGCGCCTGCTCACCTGTCGAGGGAACGCAGGGAGCTGGGGTTCGGGGACCGCTGGCAGGAGGCCGGCACCACTCTTCCGGAAGATGCTGGCGACCTGTGGCAGCTTGGGTACCTTGCTGGGTCTTGTGTAGGTGACGCAGCCCTTCCGCTTCCTCGACTCGGCAGAATGGCCGCGGGGTGAGCAGGTGTCACCCTCTAAGGGAGTGTGGAAACCGGGCACATGGGCGCCTTTGCAGTCTCCTTCCACGCGCCCGGAGAACTCAGGTTTGGCACTGAGGGGGGGTGTCCCGTTACTGGCAAGGGTGGGGAGGGGGATGCAGTGGGGCAATGCGGAAACTGTTGTGGAGGTGGACACTGAAGTGGGTGGGGCCCTCCTCTTCCGTCCCCCTACCGCCTCGCCCAGAGCCCCGGGTGCTGAGCCATGAGGTTGTCTGCACCTCCCAGGCTTCACCTTGGCCTGTCTGCCCAGAGACGAGAGGGGGGGATCCAGGCCCGGCGGGGTGGGGGATGTGTCCAGGATGCCGAAGATTCCCCGTCCACCACCAGTGGCATGCGAGAAGGGGGCAGGGTAGCCCAGCACAGGGGTTCCATCTGGTGGCGAAGCGAATCTGGCTGGGGGCAAGAGGGGGGGGGTTGACAGGGGCGGGAAGACCGGGCTGGCAGGGGGGCACTGCGGGGGCCCAGACAGCGACACGGGGCTGTCGAGAGCCAGTGGAATCTTCCTGAAAGTAGAGCTGCAATTAATCCTCGATTCACACGTTTAAGGAAAATTAAAGGCAGCAGGATGGATGGTGTTTTTACCGAAAAAGAGAGTCACCATTTCCCAAAGATATGTACTGAATATTAAATATCTCTCTCCAACTATATAGTCAGGGACAGTCAACATCTGAAAGGTTTCTGTGTCCCTAAACACCACGCCACCTGCTGGACATTTAATTAGTGTCACTCACTTCCACATCTGTGAGCTGATGTGTTTCTCCACCATTCGCTGCAGCACCGCCCTCAGCCGGTCCCAGCGCCGGTCAAACGCGTAGCCCCCAGGACCCACCAGCCGGGCCCCGAACGCACAGCACTGGGGGACAAGACGACCGGCAGGGTTAGGAGGCGGATGGAGGGGGGTGGATACCCTACAGCCCCCATCTTGCCTGGGACGCTCCCAAAACTCACCGCCAAGGGCCGTGGATGGCAGTCGGGCCCTTCGGGGCCCTCAGGGGCCTCGCCATCACCCTCAGTCTCATCGCTGGACAGCCGGTTACACCCTTCTGCCCCGAGGCAGGGAGGCGCAGGTGCTAGAGGTGGACCTGGGCAAGAGAACATTCCCACGGCGCCCCCCGCAGGCAGCCTGGACAGACACCAAGCAGTTTAGCACCAAGCACAAGCATTTCTGTAAAATATTGTTCAAAAAAGGTCATTTTCTAGTGTACAAAAACTCAAATATTTTAAATTGACATAGAAAAAGTGTTGATAGGTTGCTACTTAAGAATACAAGGGTATTCAGACAGGAAAAATTAATAATCAATAAAGTCAAAAATAAAGATTTGAAAAAATTAAATGGATACACTAAATTGAACTTTGCTGAGTGGTGGAGCTCCCCCTAGAGGCATGAATGTGTAACACATTTGTTTTTGTTATGCCACAATACATTTTGTCACATTACTCACATTACTCTGTCACATTTCCCCGGCCTTAAAATTCATACCTCGGCACACATAAGCTGGCCAGTCTGGTTTTTAGAGGAGACCTGGTGTCATTGCCGTTGGGGTGATCTGCAGGCCCGGGTTCGGGCGACAGGCGGCCGCGGCCTGCCGGAGGCTCCCGTTTACAGCCCCTGTCCTTCTCCTTGGCTCGGCCCTTGTGCTCAGCCAGCAGGGTGTCGAACAGCTTCCTCCGGCCCGGCACTGCCCTCCGATGAGTCAGGGAGTGCGTCTGAAGACACGCCGCAGAGTTAGCGTTAAAAAAAAAAAAAAAACACTCTTGCTCCAGCTGTCATCCAAATATAAATGTTATCTGAAGATCAGAACCATCTGAAATGTCCACATGATACTTCAAAACATCCTAATGTCCACTGTGAGATCTGGCTGCCCTCTTAAAGGGACACGTCCGCTGCCCTACGCCCTGTGTGGGATTTAATAGGCAGTGCGGGAGACGGCGCACCTTGCAGGTCAGTGATCGTGTACACGGCCTGTTGCTCTCTGGATCCAGGACGCCGCAGTGCTTGTCAGGATCAAAAACCCTCCCTTTATCGGTGGAGAAGAAAGGGTCAGAGTGGGCTTAGCTATGTCGATTCCCAGCCATTTTATGCTGCATCAAACCGCATTTTCGCCCCTGACCGTTTCCACGCGCACGACATATTCAATATATCTGTCTTCAGCCCCCAAGAGCAATGCAATGCTCGTTTCCTTGGAAACCAGCCCACCAATTCCAGCGGAATCAGCGCAGCTGAGTCAGCTGACCTTTCGCAGTGTTTTGGGCGGGGGAGGGGGGCCCCAGAGGAGGGGGCCACAGAACCAGATGAATAATCGAACAGCGGGGGCACTGTGGTCAAGGAGCCGTGCACATGACCTGCCAAACAGACCTGTGTGAGCGGGACTCTACATCAGAACTATTTCGGTTAAAATGTATGAATCACACATATAAGACTGTAAACAATTCAGGATCTCCAGCAACAACCTTGGCAGAGTCTGTAAAAATAATTTTTAAATACATAAATGATTGAGTCTAAGCACATTAATGTGAGATATTCTACTCTCCACGGCTGAAGCTGCTGGATATGGTGTCATCAGTGAGATGGGGAACCGGCACAGAGATGACGAGACTCAGAGGCCGACAGGTGGCAAAGTCACAGAGCCAGGCGACTGCTGAACGACGGGCGGGCTGATTTATCCGTGTGGGAGGAACCTCAGAACCCAGGAAGCCTCAGAATCCGAGGAACCCCCAGAACACGCGAAACTCAAAAGCCACAACGCCTGTCAGAACCCGCAGAACCCACAGAACCCCAGCTGAACGACTGCGGCATCTTTCCTCCAGCACAGATATCAGCAATAAAACAAAGAGGGAAGCGATAAGACAGCAGAAGGACAGACACCGAGCGGTACGCTTAGGGTTCCGTGGGCCTCCGGTCTGCAGAACCCTACAGATAGCACCCATTGCTATCATCTCACCTGTGTTACATTAATACATTTTGTCACTCAAAGTACCTGAAATAAATTTGTGGTAATGATGCTGAATTAAATACGAGGGAGAAGAGAATAGTAAGATCTCACCTGATAGCCTTTTATACGTTTTACTGCCCTCTGTGCCATTTTGGGTCTTTCTGTCCAGCACAGAGAGAGAGGCACTGGCTCGCTTGTGCATGGGAGAGGGCGGAGCATGCGGTCTTGTTTGCCTGTCCATCACAGAGGGGGAAGAGCTTGGCCACCAATCATAGGGAGAGGGTGGAGCATGCGGCCTTGCTTGCCTGTCCATCACAGAGGGGGAAGAGCTTGGCCACCAATCATAGGGAGAGGGCGGAGCTTCGTTTCTCTGTTCAAACTGGACAGGGGGAGGAGCCGGGCCTTTGCCATTCACGAGTCTCTCCTGAGACCTTTGGGATGCCGGTTGGGGTGGCGGAGAATACAAAGAAGAGGAGGAAGAGGAGGAGGAGGAGGGAGGTGTGCAGCTGAGACGCACATGGCCTCCTTCTGCTCTCCCCAGGCCGGGCATCTTCTCCAGACTCACGACCGGGACGGACATACTGGGGGACAGGAGGAAGAAATGGGAGGCGGCCATTAAAGTCTTTTCCAGCAAATGTAGCAAGACAGCTTATCCGCCAGCAACCAGTAGGGGGCAGAGTAGTGGCACCCACCAGGGCTTGCCGCGGGAGGCTTTGGGGGGGTACACGGCGTGGGTGGCCCTGCCGAACGCGCTGTGGGGGTGCTCCCTGGGTGCCCGCGCCGCCTTGTGTGGGGTGGCACCGGTCTTCTGCGAAGGCGCCCCCCTGTTCCTGTCCGGGCCCTGCAGGGCCCTGGAAGGGGCCCCGGGCTCAGAAGGGGAGTCATATCTGCGCTCTGAAAGCCACATAAACAGAGCCATTTAGAAACACTCAGAGCTACCGGGGGGTTATGTGCCCCCTGGGGGGGGGCATCAGAGTGCCTGACAAGCACATCATAAAAAACACTGTAGTTTCTAAAATCACACAATAATTATAGCAATTATTTGTGTATTCATACAATTCTGGGTACTACTAAAATTGGAATTGCATAGCATACAGGCATTCTGCATTCTATGATTGACAGCTCTTACAGCCAATGAAAATGGGCAGTGCCACCCCACCCCTCTCCCCAGCTGTCACTGACTGTGCGTATCACATGACCTCCAGCACTTACACACCTCCCACACATAAATGGCAGGTGGAGTATACAAGCAGCCCAGGTTCTCTCCTAATGTAAGCCTAGGGCAGCAGTTCTGTGGCTCCCTCCCATGCCTGACCCCCTGCCCCCCCGCCCCCCAGACAGGAGTGATAGACCGGCAAATTCTTTGTGAGCTCCATCCTCGCTGGCTCATTTGTAAGCCTCTTGTTTCTACTTTATTTCTGTTGACTAAAAATCTATAATAATTAACCAACATTAATTGATTGATTGGTTGATTGGTTGGTTGATTGATTGATAGATAAGGCAAGTCCAGCCGTGAGCCGCTGGAGGGTTTCCATCAGCCCGCTGCTATTAGAACCAGAGCCTTAATACCAAGAACAGAACCGGAAGGGGAACAAATTCCAAGCCTGGGCTTTCGTTAGACCTTGACTAGCTAATAACTGACTGACTGACTAGAGAAAATATATGGAAATCTGTTAGCCGCAGACAATGTCCTCTTCCCTTCAGGCACAGAACAGTTTCATCACGCCCTTATACACAGGAAAAGGAAGAGCGATGGGCGATGGCCGATGGAGGAGCATCAGACCCGCCAATCAATATCACATTGCAGAGAGTAGGATCATTGACGGCTTCACTGACCAGATCATTTCAGAATACTCAAACCTAAACATAAAATGCAAATATCTGGATACATAAAAACAAAACATGAACGAAAATGAAAACACACCGTATAAAGTCAGCTCATGGGAGTTTTACTTACACAAAAATATTTTGAGGGCAGAACGAACAATGATTGGTTATCTCTCTGAATCAATCAGACAATTAGAGGAGGTGGGACCAACCAATCAGATGGTCCCGCCTCGTCTAGTTGCTTGGACCCAGCTCCTTTACGATCTGATTGGTTATCTCCCTGAGTTATCTCCCTCAGGTTTCCTTGTGCTTTCAGGATATTTTTGTGCAAGTGAAGCTTCCATGAGCATTTAATCATTGCTGATAATTCTGTAACGTTATAAAAGTGTACTGACTCCTGACATCAGGGAAGGGAAATGACTTCTGCCCAAGTCAACGGAGTTGAAAGGCAGTGGTAGTTTCCATGGCGACTGATGATACACAAGACCATCATAAGTCAAGAAGATGCACAGGACAAGTTATCCAGGTTTAGCTGACGGATTCTGCCGAACAGCAGCGGCAGCGGCAGCCTGCAGGGATTGGCGGAGAGAGCAGCCACGTGACTTACGGTTCCTGTTGTGCATGGCGTGAGGTGGGAGGGAAGGGGGGGGGGGCGTCCGCTCTGGTCTCCGCACAGCTATTCCCCAGCCACCTGTGGGTCCGAAGTGGAGGGTCAGAAACCCGAACGCCACTCTGCATCACGGAAAAAAAGCATCCGCTGAGGACTCAGACTTTGTCCCGCAACAGAGATCCTGAACTCCACGCCAGGATAATATTTGCTACGGACTGCAGTGTGTCAGGCGGCCAAGTCGCCATGAGCTCCGTCCTTCGCTACCAATGCTAAACACTCGGCTCGGGCCTCCAAAATGCTTTTGTCCTTATTGCTTCAATCACCGTGGCCCAATATCTCTGCCAGAGTCTCGAGCCTCAGCGTGTCAGAACTGGCTGCCGGGACTACCCTCAGTATCCATACACACGAGAGGGGACTTGTCAAACAAAAAATAAATTAAATAAAACACTCAAATCCCATGTAAACAAGCCGAGAGGATCACGGTGCCATTTTGAGTCAGACACCGGGCATTCTTTGACTCGATGTCACCTGCCAGTCACAGCTAAACTGGGCACCGTCATGTTTTATCTGAGAAAAGTAGGTCACAAACAGTTAACGCTAATTTGGCTGCCAGGAAGAAGCTGTAAAATGTTACTCTTACTGTACCTCAGACGGCAAACAGCCACAAAACATGCGAACCTAACCTGTGACAGAACCGGCAGCACAGCGACACATAAGCTTGGCTTTTCGTGTATTAAGTAAATAGAGGAACAAACAGGAAAATGTCTCTGTCGAGCAGTTTCGGCAGTTTCGTTTGAGCTGAGCTGAGGCTCAGCTCAGTCGGCTGCGTCAAAAGCCTTCACACGTATCCGGATGGCGTCTGGCCAGCAACCACAACACAGCGGCGTAAAAGCCCGCGAACATCCCAATCGAGACATCAGCCAATGCAACTGAACCCAGAAGAAACAAAATTAAAACTTTCACACGGCGCGCGCCAGTGAAGGACTCCGTATGGCACCATCCTGAAGGCTGGGAGGCCAAGGGGCCGGAGACGCTCATGTGAGGGGGGTCAAGCCTCTCGGCTGAGGGAACAAACACCAGCTGACCAGGAGTCTAGAACTACTCATGTGGTCATATGAGCCTTGGCCTGGATTGTGAGTCTTTAGAGAAGATCTTCACTGCAGCCCCCGCAGGTGCTACAACAGAGCTGTGGGGTATTTCTGCCTCAATCTGAAGCTACGTCTTGGATCAAAGTCACCTGAGCTTCAGGTTCTCCTGGGATTTGACAGGAAATTAAAAGGTCACCCCAGACATCTCAAACAGCGTCCGTCTGTTTTCATCATCTAAAGGCATACATAGATGCATTTCAGTTTGTCTCCAGATTAATTTAAGTATAAAGCTGTCTCAGTGAAAACAGGATACCGCAACCTAAAGACAAACAAAAAAGCAAAATGAAATGAAATGAAACTCACCACAATATGTCTGGAAACCCTGAGGTTTGATGACTGGGTTGCATAAAACGAGACGGAAACCATCATCTGGCCACAGAAAGACGAGTCTGCAAGAGAAGAAGCGGAGCGGCACTGAGCTTGGAACCGGACACCTGGGAGGGACGGTGGGGCCGCCAGAAGCATGAACAGCAACCTAGAACCCGCTAAGATGATCATGAAAAGAACAGCAACCTAGAACCCACCAAAATGATCACGAAAAGAACAGCAACTTAGAACTTGGTAAAATTATCATGAAAAGAACAGCAATTTCACACGCAGAATAAAAATAAGTGATTACAACAATAACAAGAAAAGATCAAACAGAATAACAAGACATTAACCAATACCATTAGCTGTAAAAGAATGAACAGTAGGTTCAACACATGCAAAATAAAGAATCAACGTGCAGATCACTGAAAGCTCGTAAGACAGAATGACTAAAACCACGATCGCCATCCTGAGCATACGTGGGGAGAACCTTTTCAGATTCTGTTCTAACTTGTTTTCACTCAATTCACCTTGATAAGACAGAAAAATAAAATAATAATTTGAGCAATAAAATCTGCTCAAATAAATACTACGTCTAGGTGCAAATCAATGTTTACAAGACAAATTATGTGAAAGGACTTTCTTTATAAATCCATCCATCCATCCATCTTCAAACTACTCATGGTGGAGCCTGGAGCGCATCCCAGACAGCACCGGGTACACGGAAGTGGTCCGCTGGACCATAGACGGGGTGCCAGGCCATCACCGGACGCCCGAACAGCAACTCGCAGTCACGCAATTTAGAGATGCTCATTAACCTAAAGGCAGGTCTTTGGACTGCAGGAAAACAGAAGCAACCCATAAAAAAAACAGCAGAAGGATTCGAACCTCCAGAGTCGTAATTCTACAGCGCGACCTTAATTACTTAATTAAAAAAAAAAGTATTTATTAGGAAACCGAATTGTCTTTTGCAAACGTGCAAAATATGTATGCAAGTATGTGTGAAACGTCATACGTATGAAACATATGAAACTTATAAACACAACGGATTACCTAAAATTGCATGGACGGTGCTGCGTTAGCTGCGCTTGGAGAGGCTGCACTCACAGCAACTTCAGCGTACCTGCCGTGGCCCTCTAGTTATCTGGCAAATTTAGTGAGGGAGACAATCTGAAAATGACAAGACAATCGGACTTCTGCATGCAAAAGACGGCCTAGTGGAGGGACGACCAGGTTCTCCAGGTTTCCCAGCACGGTACGCTACACTTCAGAGCTTTGCGCTGCTGACATGTGACCGTCTTCTTTTCACCGTAATCATCGTAAATCCTTGTCCCTCGTAATCAGGTCATCCCTCCATCTAAGAGATCCATGCTCGTCAGCGCTTCGGGAAGGAAACCTCCAGCCCAACATGCGCTCAGAGACGCGGAGCGCCTGCTGCCCCCCATCAGCCGGCCGCTGAGACCTGCGATCCACAAAGATGCGCTTACAAAACACCAAGGGCTCCGCTGCTGCTCGGAAGAATGAGTGATATTTCCTACGCGTTTGCCAATGCAAATAAGCACAGAGGGTCACGTATTACAGCGCCTCCCTGCCAAAGGGGCGACGCGGCCAGAACGACCTCAAAATGCGCCGCAATGGGCCCCGCCGGGACGGTCAAAGCGCGACCTCGCTGACACATCGTGGACACCGACTCCTCCACCCCAGGAAAGGCGTCCGTCACCAAGAATGCTGAGATGGCGCATTTTGAAATAAGCTGGAGTAGTTTTGTAACCCGGCTGTTCTGGAAGAATCCGGCGATAAATTCCCAGACGCTCGAAACAGATCACGGGAGAAAGTGCCAGTTTAAGTCGCACTATAAACATACGCGGTTACCCATAACAGTAGGCAAAGGCTGTGTTTCTTTTGATACGATACGTATTGTTCCGATGTGGCAGCTGCCAAACATCATAATAAAATGATTGCACCATTAGCAGGACTTTATAATTTGTTAAAGAACTGCTTTTCGCAAATAAATCCTAATGATGTCATAAAACTGAATAAAAAATAAGCCCAATCTGGTCAACATCTTGAAAACATCACGGGCAAAATATTTAACGGGGATTAATACAAGGTCCCACAAGCCGATAACTAGCAATAACTTTAATTAGTTATTTTCAGTAATACAAAACGAAAAAAAAATACACACAATTAAAGTGGATCTAATTTCAGTAAGAAGCGGAAAATTAGCACATGGCCTAGTCATGCTACTTTGACAACACAAACAACTACAAATAAACAGGACAATCGTCTGTTGAAAAAAAACAATTACGCAGGATAAATATGGAGGGGTCCCTGCGTTCGCGAGAAATGATGTAATATTGCTGTGTAGTGAATATTGGATCAGACCACAAAGCATAACTTCTGTAAAAGCCGGTGCTCCGCCGCTATTTAATGCGCTGCTCTGCCGCCTTTCCACCCTCCTCACTTGCCGACAGCAGGCGGATGCTGCGTGACTCGCAGCGCCGAAATCCTCGCACCGGCGACCCGATCGTGACACGGGTGTCGCCGTGAGTCACTCATCGCCCACATAAGTAAAGCGGCGATGAGTAATCACAGCTCGGGCCGGTGTCGTGAGCAACTGCTACTCGCGCTTCATCTACCGGGCAGAGCCAGCGGCACGACAGCACGCCGAGTTAAGGGCCCGTTGCACTTACTTAATTCAGCTACATTTTTATTTCAGCAATTTATTTTCGTTATTTCACATATTGGTTACTTTTTGTTTTCTACTGTCTAATTCTGTTACACGTTATTAACTGGAAGGTGCGAGTCAGATTTACTATCTACTGATGTACAGAAGGAAAATAAAGAATATTAAGTCAGATGCTCGTCAAATTCCTGCAGCAAAACAATTAGTCTGGCGTACAGACACACACAGAGACAGACAGACACACACAGAGAGATGCAGACAGACACACACACACAGACAGACACACACAGAAACACACACATCATTCCAAAAGTAGATGCAAGCAGATCTTGCTTATTGCAGGCAAGTCGCTCCGACTAACTTTTCATTTCTATATAATACAGTCTTCACAAGAAAAACCGTGGATCAAAACATGTTAAACAACAACATTGTAGTATTCCCAGAAACCCTGCTTAAAAACGCAAAGGGCTGTATGGGTCTGCAGTGGCGTGTTTCAAAATCCATGTATCATGCGGTTTTTAATTATATTCTCATTTAAGGTACACTTTCATTACAGCGAGCCCAGTTAGGAGTTTTTTTTTTTTTTTTTTTAAACTTAATTTGTACTACAGGTTTAATCCTCAAGATACTGTGAAAAGGAACGTACTGTTAATTACGACGGGTTTCTTTTGATCCGGGGGTTGGAAAAACAGTTAATTCCCTGTGAGGATGCCCCGTGTTGTCAGTGCGCAGGACAGCCTGCTGTGACAGCGCCGGAAAGTGTGAGCGCCGCGTCGGTTGTTAATCACACCGCGGCTTCGAGCGATGACAGAGATGAGCGTTGACCTGCTGTACGTGACTGCAATACCGCAACTACCCAAAAACAATACTCACCGTGATCAATGAGTATCATTGCTTTTCTGGTGTGTACATCACGTCCCACATAGACATCTGGAGGGAAGAGTGCCAAAACAGACGTCAGGAGTGGGGTGCACACTTTTAAGGAAGGGAAAGAAATTTAATTTGAACTGAAGGTGAACATGACAGCGACGATCACGCACGCCTCCTCCGACCCCGCACAAGGGAAAAGTGGGCAAAAGTGGGCGAGCTAGGGGAACTCATCAAAGTGTGTGCGCGGAAACACAGTGACACTCCGAGCTACGACACAGTGACGGAAATAGCGCGTCTCGGCAGCAAAAAAAAAAAAAAAAAAAAAACTGCACAAGGGCGCCGCAAAATGCATTTTATGTTTGATGTCAAGCCTGTCCGGCGAGTGCATAAACCCCCCAAGTCCGTAAGCTCCCTTATCGGCGTTACCGCTGTGCGTTTCAGTTAGTAGAGAGATGCATGCCATGCACCCGTAAGCCGTACAGCGCATTATGCCAATCTCAGTTCAACAACTCCGTAGGAATAAAGTGCACAATCTGAATGAGATCCGGGGATCATCAAGACGCGTCCTTACTGTCAGAGCCGTATATTTCAGTTGCGTTGGTATACGTAGACAAGCGCTTGCACAGGAGCCTATCCGGACTGGGTAGTTTCCGATCCAATGTCGCCATTGCTCTTCCTTCTTGTTGGTTTTTTTTTTTCTTTTTTTTTTTTTTTGCTTTCCTTCATAGCCAGCGACACGGGACCTGCGAGGCTTCTGACGTCATTTTCGTCAAATTTCGTTTTCGCTCGCTGTCTGACGACGAGCGCGTTCGGCTCATTCAAGCTCAGTGGGTCACGCTTATTTAGGGATCGCTACCTTCTCCAAAAAGTACAGCTGTAGGCTTTTGAAAGCCAAAAATAATTATATCACGATCACATTTTAACACCTGTCTAATCTGATATTTTTAAACACTTACATAACCTGGCGCATTCCATTAATAGTACATCTCTAGAGTATCACTCTTACTATTTCCTGCGAAACATGGTGATAGCAAACTAGTCTTAGATGCTCCGAAAAGTCTTGTCCGTTTACTCACCACTTACACGATAGCGTTTCCAATTTGACCATGGGTATTTGACTATACATTAGGGATTGGCAAACCCTGATTGATCAATTTCACATGTTTTCTCACTAGGTGTCGCCAAATCACAACCAACAAGTTTGGCCAGAGCTAAAAACAACAGCGAAAAAACTAATCCCTAAAATAAAGAAATTGCCATTTGTACAAGTACGAATGCAGGTACATTGGAATGCTTCTTGTGACATATGCCATCTTGCTATCCTTTGAGAAAATACACACACAGGTACGGGTGAGAGCAAAGCTTGGCGTCTGAGCACAGGGTCAACCTTTTATCTGGCACGCTGGAGCATTTTTTCAGGAGGTTAAGGGCCTTGTTCGAGAGCCCATTGGTACTGTGACAGTTCTGCAGAGTACGGGATTCGAATAGGCAACCTTCCGATCACAGACACAGAGGTCTAACCTGCTGATGTTCAGCCTGTAATTTCTGCCTGTGATTATGTCTCCATACCATACTGTGACCTTGTCTAATAAACACTGCCCTGAACAAACGACATTAGTTATATTATTCCCACTGTGTGCTAATTTAAGTGGCCAAGTGTATGTTTGAAATTCTGCACATGTTGCCCTAGATCCCAGAGGGACTGTAACAGGGCATCCCTCAGACACGCTCCCATTAGACCTGGGCCAAGACCTCAGCATGTCTCGTCTCTGGCTGCACCTGAGAGGAGCCTTCACTCCATCCTCCCTCCAGCAGGGGGCAGTATATACCCAGTGCTGCTGCTGAGGCCCGTCTGATGTTAATTTCCTGACATGCATCACTTCTGGTGTTAATCCAAGCCGATGCATTAGACTCACTATGTAGAATTAACAGATGACAAGTGGTACATAGTTTCAAAATCTAATCAGACTGAGGGTCTTGTCACATACAGTTCCAGTCAAAAGTCTAGATAGATGTACTGAAAATCAGATTAAGATAATGATCCTAAGCTCACCTCGAGGTTATGCAGTAAATATTATCTTGTGAACTAGGAAAGAAATGGACAGCTGGGAGAGATGAGCCCTCGGTCCCCCGACCTAAACCCTACAGAGCTGGTTTTGGATGAGATCGAAGGGTAAGAGCAAGGCAGCCAACTTGTGCCCAGAACTCATGGAAACTCCTTCAGGCCTGTTGGAGAAGCATCCAGGGGGCTGCATCTGGAAGCTGCGTAGATGAATGCCAAGAGTCTGCAATGCTGTCATCGAAGCAAAAGGGGGCCATTTTGAAGAGTCTAACATTTGAAAATATTTCGAGATGTTGAATACTTCTCTTGGTCATTGCAATATTGGATATGCATTACTTCATTGATTTGTGGCCTTTTACTATAAGGTGAATAACAGCTAAAATAGGGACAAAAGCAATAAAAGCAGGTGTGTCCAGACTTTTGACATCTATCCCTGGACATGATGCCTTTGACTCTGGGAGAAAACTGACCTGTGTCCTTAATGTGTCTGTATATATATGACTGTCAGCCAATCCTTTGCTCTTAGTATCCATTAAGTAAACCCCCAAGGTTTTGCAATTCTCCTGAATTTCATTTTTGTTTAAGGACATGCATTAATAATCTTTAAGAAGCATTATGAATACAGTTTTTTTGTGCTCTACAGTGTAGCTGTCCTTACATATGCTTGTTGTACTGTAGATCCACAACGAACAATCGACAAGCTGCAGGGACCTCTAGTGGTCAAAAACAGTCACTGTTGTTTTCCAGGGATGGTGGTGAAGTTTAAACAGCGTGGCGCATGTCAACATACATGAGGACCGAACATAAGCCTGAAAACAAGCACAGCATATGTAAATGCCTCCTTCTGAATCACAGTTTGGCGAAAGAGGGCGAAACACTGGAGTAAAACCTGGTTGAGATCTTTTGAGATCCGTACACAGATGGTACCTCGCATCTGTACTTAAACCTCTGACGTGTGTCACCACTGGATGGCGCTACATGGAGATCACAGCTCAGCCACAGACAATGTACACTCATTATTCAGGGAGACGGCCAGACCTAGAGCATGCCCATGCTTAAGGAAGGTCCTGTTTCATCCTTGGAAGAGGCTGAGCTAGAGGTAGTACCTTGCATCCAGAGACAATGCCTTTAAGCTTAAAGATAACACTGGTGGTATGAGACCGAACAGCTAATTACAGAGCAAATCAGAGGCTGAGGCAACACTGTCAAGGACAGGCCTATTGCTCTGGCAGCAGGACAGAGCCATACTGGGGCATTTTCTCCTGGAGATAATATCGCATTTGTTCTCTCAACACCATCAGGAAGACAAACACCGATCGCTCAAGTCACAAGATAAACAGAAAGACAAAGGGCCGTTTATCCCACACCGTCTCGGATTTGAGGACAGGAGGCCAAAAATCGCTTTATTTTGGTATGTTTGGCAGAGAGAGGCAGCCCACAATGGTTCTGTCAGCTTCGCACCATGGAAATGCTCAAAAATAAAATATCAAAACCAGTCCATGAGACACTTACACAGGGCCCAGTTACTCCGGACAAGATACGAAGCCCCCGAAAGAATTCACAAGACCTTCGATGTTATTTTACATCACAGCATGTACCGCAGGTTGTATAACAGTTCCACAAATTATTGCACAAATAATATTTTAAAGCAGGTATTTAAATGTCATTTGGCACAGCAATAACAGTCATTTGGGAACTAATGCAAATGTGAGATTAAATGGCGACTTCGGAACTGATCCCAGTGTTTTACACAAGTGGAAAATGACACACTGAGGATAAAAGGCAGTGCCACGATTTCCAAAAGATTCCGGAAATTCACTAACAGAACACTCTATAAAAAGGACGAGAGAGGAGCTGCACACTGGGACAGTCTGCTGTCCCAGATAGCTCTCTTTGGGGGGTGTTTCAGTTTATTAATATGCTTATTACAGTGGAAAATTTACACGAGTAAATAAAATACTACTACTATTTAAGAAGGAGTGGTTTCCCAAGCTGGGCTCATATGCTGGATATGCAGGTCACTGGTTTCCTCTTCAGAAACCACGGTTACAGTACGCATGCTACGCACAGCGGGGAGAGTCACTGCACACCACCTCCAAAGTGATACATCACCACGCTGAAGCCTCCCATATGTGGTGCAGAGAACATTCCAAGAGTGCGTTTCAGCATGATCACCAGGTCTGGGACTGTGGCAGGGCTAAATTAAAATAAGCAACAGTCATCCACATAATACTGTAGCTCAAGAAGGACAGTGCTGTGCTAATGATGCACAGGTTATGGGCTCGAATCCCTAAGGTCAACCATAAATTGTAACCTTTTTCCTCTAGTGTTGGGATGAATTTGTCTGAAAAATGAGTTAAAATAATTCAAATGTGTAAGGGCCTGATTTCAAATAGATGGACTGCCAAAGCTGTCTTCTGTGGCTATGATCATTTAAAGGTGAGTTTTTAAAGCTAAGCAATGCAGGTGAGGGAGGGGGAGAGAGAGAGAGAGTGAGAGAGAGAGAGAGAGAGAGAGAGAGAGAGGCTGTGAATGGCCTCAGAGAGCACGCCCACTGACACGCCAAGGCGTTACGCGCCATTTGGACGGCCGGTCCTGCTGAGTCACTGCACGGCAGCATTAGAGAGGCAAGCGAGAGTGTCACCTGAAGATATAACTCATTCAAAGATTATGAGCGAAACTCCAAAAACAAAAAAAGCATTCTTTTGGTCAGAGATCTAAAACAATGAAGAACTGAGCCAAAGTTCAATCCCAAAAGTCTGACATTGCAATAAAAATGTTTAAATAGAAGAAAAGAACAAAACAAGAGAAAAATAAAAATGAAAAATTGAATTAAAAACAGACCCCCCCCCCCAAAAAAAAAAGAAAAACAAACATTTAATGTATAATGAAAAACCTTGTACCTTTTGTTCACAATGTTTCTGGGGTATTTTATAACAACTACTGCTACAGAGCGAGAATCCCAGGAAGAAGATATTCAGGCAGACATAGGTGTAGGTACCGCAGCCCCAGCGGGGGGAGGGGGACAAGACCTCTCTCCCCCACCACCAGGTGCCCGAGACAGAGGGCACCTCCCAGAAGCTGAGGTTAGATAGGTGCGGGGGCTTGGGCACGCCCCCCCGGCTGGGAGGAGGCCTTCTGGGTGCTCCAGCGTGTCTCTTTGTAGGCAAACCAAGCATTTCCCGCCCAAACCATCATGTTTAGGTAGCCGACCACCTGCAGAGGTTAGGAGAAAAAAAAATGCAGGATTACCTGAATTATGTCAGATGCACAAAAACAGATTACAGGCTATCTATAATAATACATGTCATATTTTATAAGCTTGCATCCACAGTGTCAGGATGGCCGTGTGGTCTAAGGCTCCAGACTCAAGGGTAATTCCCCTTCACGTTCTGGTCTCTGAATAGAGGGATAGGTTTGAATCCCATTTCAGACACAAATACTTTAATGAATTTTCAATAAGGTATATTTCTCTAAATGTGTGTGATATTCTCCTCAGTGTTCATTCTACACAGTTAAACGGCTGGTTTTTGATCACCTGACCAGTGGCGACAATGCAGAGCGTGACGGGACTCACCACAGAGATGTTGAGGCTCCGCATGCTGGCGTAATCGGTGACCTCACAGGTCACGCCCAACTCGTGGCAGAGGGGCAGTATTGCCCTGACCGCCTCTGTGCCCGTGGCCTCCTTCACGAGCTGCAGGCCCCTCGCCCAAGCCGAAGAGGAGACCATCCAGAAGAAGGCGAAGAACACAGTCATCAGAAAGTCCTGTGGGTTGGGGGTTAGTGTCAGGTCGAGTCACAGCAATTGTGGGTAATACTGCCCCCATGATCCTCCATTCCCGAGGTAACACTGAGTACCACTGCCTCAGTAATCAATCATTCCTGAGTAACATTACCGCCATGATCTGCCATTCCTGAGTAACACTGCCCCTGTGATCCACCATTCCTGAGTAACACTGCCATTCCTGAGTAACACTGCCCCCGTGATCCACTATTCCTGAGTAACACTGCCCATTGTACTCCAGTCCTGAGTAACATTAAGTAACACTTCCCCTCTGATGCATCGTTCCCTTGTACTCCAGTCCTGAGTAACATTAGGTAACACTGCCCTTGTAATCTGCTGTTCCCTTGTGCTCCAATCCTGAGTAACACTAGGTAACACTGCCCCTGTAATCTGCTGTTCCCTTATACTCCAGTCCTGAGTAACACTAGGTAACACTGCACCTCTGATCCATCGTTCCCTTATACTCCAGTCCTGAGTAACACTAGGTAACACTGC